AAAGCCTGGGAAGAGAAGGGGACAAGAGCTGAACTGATACTTCTGACAGTCACAGCTGTGTACCCCACTTGCCCATCTGCTGAGTCACACACTTGCCTCTYCCCAGGGCAGGATGCTGGGTGCCCCCCCTGACTCTGCCTCCTTTCTCCCACTATCAGGCCCTGTAGGTTCCCGGTGGCGAGATTATGGTGCGTTGGCCATCATCATGGCGGGAATTGCATTTGGCTTTCATCAGCTTTACAAGGTAAGTTGTCTTCCCAGAGGCTACAGGTGCTCTACCTGCTGCCCTGGCAGTCAGCTCCCCTCTCCCAGCTCTTGGTTTACCTCCTGCACAGAGGTGCTSTCCTCGGGGTGCAGCAGGCGCAGGAGGGAATGCGCACCCAGGCCTGGCAGGCACAGGCCCCTCCTCTCCTGCTCCACTCATAGGGTAATCTTGAGGTCTGTCCATTGCAATCTGGGTCCGGCACTTAGAATGGTGCCTGATGTATAATTTGTGAGGGACAAATTAAGAGCATGGACGCTGGGGGCCAGCTGCCTGTGTTAAACCCTGGCTCTGCCCGGAGAAACTGACCACAGGCTCATCTGTAAAATTGGGATAAAACAGATGGTCCCCAACTTACGATAGTCACCTTTACAATGGTGCAGAAGCACACCCATTGCAACCCTTGCTGTGTACCTTCAGTGCAATATTCAGTAAATCACACGAGATTGTCAACATCTTATTGTAAGAGAGACTGTTAGACGATTTTACCCACTGTCAGCTGATGTGCATGTTTTAGGCACATTGAAGGTAGCCTGGGAGATGAGGTGTGTAGCATCATTGTTGATGTCCAGTGCTTCATTGTGACATGACTCCCTCCCCTCATCGTTGAGGAGCAGCAGCAGTACCTGCTTCGTGAGATTGTAATGAAGAGCACAGGAAAGTGCTGAGACAAGGCTCACTCACTGGAAGCACCCCAAACTCCATTGTTCTACCTTAGTATTTAAAGCCAGGTTGGGGAACCTCAGTGTAGCCATGTTCGTGGGATCGCCTTGTCTTCCAGGGAATGTATAACGTAGGATTCCTCAGGACTCATAAGCAGTTGATTGCTTACCACAGAACCTAGGCACCAAGCAAACATTTACTTTGTTGACACCAGAGAAAAGGCCCMCCTTGGATCTGAAGAAATGAGTCTTTTCTAGAAGGTGAAGAGCCAGGTTGGGTCTCAGGTCCAAGATCTGCTCAACCTGGAGGCCACCCAGGGCCTGAATGAATTCCAGACTCACCATTGTAACTTTTAGCAAGTGAAATGCATTTAAACCTTGCATCCTGGGATTCTTAGTTTGGGGCTTAATACAAAAGCTAATGGCAGAGTTATAGCAGAATAACATTTTTTTCAGTGGAACATCTGTTGCTGTAGTTGGAAATTGCCATGTAGAAATCCGGAAGCAACTTCTTAGCAAAGGAAACAATCAGTAACGTGATGAGAGAGCCTACAGAATGGGAAAAAATCTTTACCACACACACCTCAGATAGAGCACTAGTCTCCAGGATATATAAAGAACTCAAAAAACTTAACACACACACACACACACACACACAAAAACAACAAACTGAATAACCCAATCAGTTCAGCTAACAAACTGCACAGACACTTTTAGAGAAGAGGAAATACAATCCATCAACAAACATATGAAAAAATGTTCATCATCTCTAGCAATTAGAGACATGCAAATCAAAACTACTCTAAGATTTCATCTCACTCCAGTCAGAATGGCAGCTGTCAAGAATACAAACAATAATAAGTGTTGGTGAGGGTGTGGGGGAAAAGGTATGCTACATAGTTGGTGGTACTGCAAATTGGTGCAACCACTAAGGAAAAGCCATATGGAGATTCCTCAGAAAACTTGGAATGGATCCACCATTTGACCCACCTATCCCACTCCTTGGTTTATACCCAAAGGACTTAAAATCAGCCTACTGTAGTGACTCAGCCACATTAATGTTTATAGCAGCTCAGTTCACGGTAGCTAAACTATGGAACCAACCTAAATGCCTTCAACAGATGAATGGATAAAGAAAATGTGGTACATATATACAATGGAATATTACTCAGCCTTAAAGAAGAATGAAATGATAACATTTGCAGGTAAATGGATGGAACTAGAGAATATCATGCTAAATGAAATAAGCCAATCCCCCCCAAAACGAGAGCTGAATGTTTTCTCTGATAAGCAGATGCTGATTCATAGTGGGGGTGGAGGGATAGAGAAAAATGAAGGAACTTTGGTTTGTGTAGGGGGGAGTGAGAGGAGAGGAGTGGAGTTGTGGGGCTGGGAAGGACAGTAGAAGGAGACAGACATTATTACCGTGTTTATATGCACGATTACACTGGCRGAGTGACTCTGCACCGCGGACAGCCAGAGGAAGGAGAAGTGGTGCTCCATTTGTGTACAGTGTGTCAAATGCATTCTGCTGTCAAACAGATTAATCAATCAAAAAAAATCTGGAAGCAAAATGTTCTGGATCCTAGGACTCCCTCCTCTGAGTGGATACCCACCCRTTTCTTGTGTGTGGACAGCTTCTTCCAAATCACTGGCCCAGATTAGGCACCAGGAAGAATAATATGACAACACACAGCTTTCCAATGAGTGCCTCGGCCCTGTGAGCCCCACAGGCTCAGGCCACAGGCCACAGCGCAGGCCCTCGGTGTAGGTGCACCAGAGGGCTGCTGTCCCTTTCCACAGCGCTCGGGACTCTCGCCTGTTTTTTTTTTGGGGGAGGGGGGGTTGGTTTTTTAAATTTTTTTTTTAAGTTGTAGATGGACAGAATGCCTTTATTTTATTTTGTTTATTTTTATGAGGTACTGAGGATCAAACCCAGTGCCTCACGCATGCCAGGCAAGTGTTCTGCCTCTGAGCTATATAGCTCCAGCYCCTCTCACCTGTTTTATAAAAGAAGAAAGACATTGAAATGTYGGTCACAATGGTGGCACACACCTCTAATCCCAGCAACGTGGGAGGCTGAGGCAGGAGGATTGCAAGTTCAAGGCCAGCCTCAGCAATTTTAGCAAGGCCCTAAGCAACTTAAAATTCAAAAGAAATTCTCAAAATTCAAAAGAAAGCACTGGGGATTTGTTTCAGTGGTACAGCACCTCTGTATTCAATCCCCAGTACTAAAAATGAAAAAAAATAAAGAATTTCTAGAATATTTGTTAATAGTTTTTTTTAAATTAAAAGAAGAGGGTTGTGGCTCAGTGGTAGAGTGCCTGCCTCACATGTGTGAGGCACTGGGTTCAATTCTCAGCACCGCATATAAGTAAATGAATAAAATAAAAGTTCATCAACACTAAAAAATATTTTTTAAAAAATTAAAAGAAGAAAAAAGAAAGTGGGAAGAAGCCACCCTCTTGCTGCACACATGCATAAGACTTAGGCTGAACAGGGCATGTGCCTCTTGTCACTTCTGACCTCAGAAATGGAGCCCACAGTTGTTTACATGTGTGAGAGTTTCTTGACTTTCATACTTAGGGAATTTTCCACCTGCAACGTCAGACTACATTTGATGAGTTTTAGCTCAGTTGTGRGTAATAACTCACAGGGTGGCTGAAAAGCACTTTGCAAAATAGAAAATGCTTCTACACTTAAGCTGAATGATGGTCTTCACTTAGGAGTCACTCCTGAAATGAGCTCTCCCACAAACCCCCTGTGAAGGGCCTTCTCCTTCCCCATACAGAAGCCTTAATGGAGAAGTTTCCATCTTTTTTCCCCATCTGGGGCCCAAATAGACTAAGAAACAAAGTACCCTTGTGTGGCTCAGCCAGGCCCACGCCGCGTGAGCTCTAGCACCTTCCTTTTCAAGTTGCACTGGGTCTCGCTCCCCTCAAATAGGGGGCCTCGTGGGTCRAAGGACATTTGCCTCATCCTGCTCTCCAGTGGCCTGCTGCCCACCTCTGCCCTTCCACACCCCTGTTCCAAGCCCCACAGCAGGGTGTCCAGCTATGCCCTCGCCGCCTTCCCAGTGCTCAGAGGACCGGGTGTTCAGGGTTCTTATTTGGTGGCATCACAGTCGCCAGGTGCAGCTTACCCCCTGGGGTACCTGTGAGAGTGAGTTGTTTGTCTCTGAAGGAGGCTGCTTCTGAGGATTCAGCCTTGGTTTAGCAAAGACCAAGTGATCTCGGGAGACCTCGGTATCATCCCCTACTAAAAGCCAGGGCCCTGAAGTCTGCAGCTGATTTCCCTTTAGTTTCTTGAGTAAGTTTTTATTCATTTAATTTTAATAATTTGTTTTGAAGGGTGAAACAGGAGGCTGCCAACAGCATTGTTTTCCTATATATCCTTCCACATTTTCATCTTACAACTTTTAAAGTAGAATTTAAAATTTTTGTCATAAAAATATGAYATCACTAATAAAAGTTGCCTATCACAGCAGACCAGACTGGTTTTCCTGGGGCCAGGTTGCAGCTGTGTGGTGGAGCTTGCCCGACAGGTTCCAGACCCTGGGTTCTGTCCCCAGCGCACACGCATGTGCACATGCACACTGGCTTTCTTCGTGCCTGTTCTCTCCCGATCCTTGTCCTTATTCAGACAGAATTTTAGATGGTTATAATCGCAGTCTTGTAACTTTTTCAAGTATTYTGTTCGATTATGGATGTGCCAGGGTTCCCCAAACCTGGGGAGGACGAGGGAAAGTTGGGTGGCGGGATCTGAGAGGCGGATGTCAGGTACCTGCGTGCACACTGCTCCCGCCCCTCTGCTTCTTGCAGAAGTACCTGCTGCCCCTCATCCTGGGCGGCCGCGAGGACAGGAAGCAGCTGGAGAGGATGGCGGCGAGTCTCTCTGAGCTGAGTGGCAGCGTGGCCCAGACAGGTAAAGATTAATGACTCCATCAAGTCACCCCTCAAAGCCTTCTCCACGCAGCCCCTTCGCGGCCCCTCCCCTCTCCCTCCGTCTCCACTTTATGTGGTGACTTCATTTATCTGCTCTGAGAATCTGTTCACATTTGCAAATGAAGCCGCCGTCATTTCGGTTTAATTTGAAATTGCTTGTTTACTGTCGGCGCGGCCTCAATTAATTATGTTTTTACGGAAAGGCTCCCAACCTCAGAATATTAATAAGGGGAATAAAATGACAGCCTTTCTAAGGGCTGTAAAGTTCATTTTTAATTTCTGCTTCTATGAGGTTTTCAGGGGGGTTTTCAGTGATTTCCCCCCTTCCCTCTAAGAGTCCAAGGCAGGGTCGGGAGAGTCTGTAATTACTGTGGCTCCTGGGACCCCGGCCACCTCCTCTGTTATCGACTCCACAGGGCTGGCGTTCATTACCCGCTGCCCCAGCGATGGCCCAGATTAGCTGGGACCTGTCGCGCCAGAGGTGGCTCTGCTCCGTTATAAGCTTGTTTACCAGGTGAAGCTCTGCATCTCAAACCCCGAGGCGGGCGGGAGCCTCCTGTCCGGGCAGCCCATGTCCCTCAGGGGCACCTTCGTGAAATCCTCAGAAGTCTGTAGCACGTATCTGTCACACTGGCATTTGCTCCTCGGAGGGTGACGCGGTGATACCTGGTCCCAGGGGCCATGTGACAGTGGGGTCTAGGCAGACAGCCTCAGGGTGGGAGTAGGATAGGAAGGCGCGCTGGAGACAGGGTCCGCAGTTTCACTCCTCCTGGGTGTGGCGGAAGCCTGAGCCTCGGCCTTCCCAGGGTGGACACRCCCTGAGCTCCCAAGGACACATGGGCTAGGCCCATGAGATGAGTGAGGCAGTGAGAGGGGCCGGGAGAGCCAGGACGGTGCAGCCGGGCGTGATTAGAGGGAGAGGCTGGACCGGTGTGCTGTTGACCACGACAAGCACACAGTAGAAAGACAGAGTGGAAATCCGGAGGGCAGGTCCAGCGCAGGTGGGCTACCAGGGCGCAGATGAGTCATCGGAGGTAAGGGGGCGGGGCCTGCAGATAAATGAACCCAAGCAGGAAGAGGGGCTGCCCACAGGCATGGGGACTGAGGAGGGAGTCTGGGCACCAACTCACCAGACGCCACACTCTCTTCCCCAGTGACTCAGGTACAGACGACACTGGCCTCTGTCCAGGAGCTGCTGAGGCAGCAGCAGCAGAAGGTCCAGGAGYTGGCCCATGAGCTCGCCACCGCCAAGGTACTTACCTCTGGGCCCTGGTTCCCCCAGGCCCGGTCTGTCCTGTCCAGCTCTTCRCCCTGGTCCTTGTGCCCCAGGTCTGAATATTGTCTTCCAAGGTCTGAATGTCCTTCACCTGCCATCTGCTGTCTAACCTTTCCTGTGGAAAAGGGAGGCATCACCGTACACTTGGATGGCAGTTACCCATTAAGGCCACCCTTCCTGTCACCTCCCAACAGGAGGAGGGAAGAAAGCTGCCCTTTTCCCTGTGACCTCTGATGACAGCCACACCCCCACAGCTCTGGACGCCATCATCGTAGGTGCCTGTAGTTGGGCTGTAAGTCACAGGGAGAATATGAGGGGACAGAAGGGAGAAGTGTGCAGTTTCCCAGCAACCCCTGTGCCCACCCCAGGCGCATGTGTTAACCTTGTCTCAAGTATGTGGGCTTGGGTGATCCCCAGTGGAATGAGAACCACCCAGGATCGACTGAGGAAGTTTTCCATGCCTTATTGCCCAAATCTGCAGCAGTCTGGGCAGTATCAGACTGAGGGATCCATCTGCTGGGTTAGAATCCTCACTTTCCTACTTGCTAGCTGTGGGACCACAGGCAAGTTACTTAACTTCTCTGAGTCTTCCTCATGTATACTAATGGAGCTGTAATGGTTCCTGCTTTGCTGGATTGTGGATGTGCTTAGAACGTTGCCTGACTTCGGTCAGGTCTCAGGGTTGCAGGCCCTGGTTTTCATGGGTGTATGATAGCATCATCATGGCTTAGGCAGACAGGGCCCAGGAGACAGTGGTCCGGTGGCTCCATAATGTCCTCTAAAGGATTTCACCCTGTCTGTTCTGCTAAGGGAAGACACCTTCAATGCACTGGATTGCAAAACCAGGAAAGTGGATCACTTCCTGCTTCTGATAGAGTCTGAGGTGCCTCTTTTGAAGACCCAAGAACCCCCTCCCCATGTCTCTCCCACACACAGGTGTTGCCTCACCTCCTCCTCAGGTGGCTGCAGCCCCTGTGGGTCCCTGTGGCAGCAGCCTTCACCCCACTTGGTTATCTTTTGGATCAGTGGCCTGTCAGTGGCCAGCAGCCACTCTGGAAAATGGGAAATTGCTTTCAGACCTTAAACATTAAGATGAAGACCACGTGTTGGATTTGAAGGCGGGTGGGGTGGGCTTGTCCTGGTGGCTGAGATGGCCCCATAGAACTCCTCCGCTTGCTGTTCTCAAGCCCCTCCCCCTCCAGGCTTCTGTCCCCCTCTTGGTGATGAAGTGGGGTTCTCCAGCCTGGCATCTAAACACATGGGAGGACTTTGGTTACCCCATAAACCAAAGACTCAGAGCTGTGTTTTCTCAGCTGTGATGTAAGTTTTTATATCTGGCTTCCAAACTCCTACTGGAGCACTGTAAAAAATTAGAAAGAAGAGCTTTAAGTAATTAAAAAAACCTACATAAAACTGAAGGCTGCGAGTTTTCAACAACTGTTTTTTAAAGAGATTGGCTAAAAAGCCCCAGATGTCAGATTTTATTTCTGAATCCTGGCATCTGGCAGCACATGCGTTTGGTAATTCGAGTCCTGTGYGGCCCCGGAGTGGAAGTCGCTCCTGCTTGATGGGCTGCTGTARCTTCCAGGGCGTGGAGGAGCTCATCAGCAGCTTCTTGCCCTCGTCATCTGCTGATCTGGAGTGGGGACCCTGTAGGGTTGTGTGTGAGGGTGGCAGACATGGGCCCGCATTCTCCCGGACTGCAGGTTTCCTTCCCCTGGGMGGCCTCAGCTGGGTGGGCCTGCAGTCGCCACTGTGCATTGGGGAAAGAGCCAGGCTCACCCCATCTGGAGGCAGCCTCCAGCTCAGGGAAGCAGGCACTTGAGCTGAGGCCTCCTGGCCGGGGTGGACCACTATATACCCACCACACTCACCCCGGCGGCTTGGCCACCYGCAGCTCCCATGCAGGGTGGTGGGATTGGCTCTCCTCTTGTCCATCTGTCCTGATAGGATTTGCCAAAAGCCATGCGCAGCAGCCCTGTGTGAAGGAGGTTCTGTCCTGGCCCTCTGGGGAAAGGGCAGCTCAGAGCCCAGGGGCTGTTCTCTTCTCTGCTCTGCAACCAGAGTCATCCCAAAGAAGGGATGTGATTGGGTAGCATGACCTGCAGGTGGCTTTGCAGACAGGGAGGAGCAGTCCTGGGATGTCCTCTGGCCCCCAGGACCCTCTAGAGACCAGACCTCACCTAGCAGGAGCAGGAGGTCCCCAGCAGCCCCAAGCAGCCCAGCATGTGGTGAAGCCTGTCCTCCAGGCTGCAGGAGTGGCCCGCAGGGGTTGAGGTGCCCCAGCCTCTCTGATGCCCAGTGTGGGTTCCAGGCCCAGGAACACCAGTTTTGAGGCCACCCCGGCTCAGCCCCTTGCTCGCTTCCAAGGGGCATTTCTTTTGGAAGGAGTGGGGTTTAGTTTTTATTGCTCTTTTGTTTTAATGAGCATTTCAAACACAGAAGGGAGGGCATTGCTCACTCCAGCAGACCCTGCCCGCCCTCCAGGTGTCACCCCTCCTTTCAGACACCACAGCGAGTCTCCCTGAGAGATGAGAGCTCACGCATCACGTCACTTTACAAACCCACAGTACCACGGTGCTGCCTGTCCTGTGCCCTTAGACACCCAGAGCCCAGGGAGTGTGGGTTTGAAGGGAGTCGCCTCCGGCAGTGCCAGGCCCTTCACGCAGGATCGCCAGGCTGTGGCCAGATAAAATGTGCCAGCTGCTGTTGCCTTCAGGGTGCTCCTAAGCCACACCTTGCCCACTCGGGTGGCGTGGGGGTGCCACTCTGACCTGCATGTCCTGTGTTTTGACTTTCAGGCCACCACATCCACCAACTGGATCCTGGAGTCCCAGAATATCAACGAACTCAAGTCAGAAATTAACTCCTTAAAAGGGCTTCTTTTAAACCGGTAGGAGAGAAGGCTCGGGTTCCACCTTATCTAGGTCCCTGCTTGGGACAGCAAGCAGGAGAGAGCTCCTGGGCCGGCCTCGAGCGGTGGGGAGCTCAGGGCTCCCCCAGGGCTCCCCAGGCAGCTTCTGACTGAGCTGTGGGATTCTGGCACTGAGTGCGGAGACCTGGGAGCTTCTGCTTCCCTCCCCAGAGCCCTTCTCCCTCCAGGCTGACAGTCGGCGGCACCCACAAAGGTTTTGAAATAGCAGCGGCTCTCTGGACCTCTCAGGCGAGGAGCAGTGGGCACTCCCGCTCGGTTCCTCCTGAAGCAGGGGCTCCTAGAGGCAGGCTACCCCTCCCCCTCCCTGAGCCCAGACAACCTCAGTGACAGCTTTGCCCAGAGAAAGTCCCAGTAAGGGCCACTTAGTTCGAGGAGCTCTCCACCAGCAGAACAGYCCTCCCTCCCTCCACCTTCCCTGGTATTCCTCTGCTGTCCCTCCACAGGGCAGCCCTGATGGYAAGGTGACCAGCTTTTCCTGGTTTGCCCAGGCCTGACCTGATCTTAAAGCTGGAAGTCCAGTGTCCCAGGAGCCTCTTTGTCCTGGGAAACCAGGAAGTGTGGTCATCCCACATGAGCGGCACCCTGGCAGCCCTTATCTGGATGCTGTCCTTCCTCCGCTGGACTTGGGGTTCAGAGGCGCCCAATGTGGGACCTTCATAGGGATCAGGGATGGAGGGTGTAGGGATTGGGTAGCCAGAGACCTCATTTGCAAACACGTCCGCCCTGTGCTCACTGAGGAAGAGAACATGTCCTCAGAACAGGTGAGGGGCCCTGGGGCCTGAGGGTGATTAGTAGAAGAGATCTTTCCTGACCCTGGTGGTAGGGAGACCAGGCAGTTGGGGAACTCTGAGCAGGTGGAGTTCCTCGCTGGCTTTGTGCCGCTGAGGCTAGTGAAGGCTGGGGTGTGTGTCCCCTGAGGTGGAGGCTGTTTCTGTGGCTAGTGCTGGCTGCCCAGAGTGGGAACCGGGCTTTGTCCCCTGGGTCCACACAGGGATGGGCCTGCAAGTCACAGAACTTCACTTCCAAGCAGTTGCCAAGCAGGCCTGGCCTCCCGGCTCCCCCCTGGAATGGGCTTTGGTCTGGGCTGGCTGCTGGCCCAGGGCCTAGAAGGGAACACGGAAGCAGAAAGGGAAACCTGTCTGTTCCCTGTCGCTTGGGCTCAGAGGCTTTCTACCAACATGCACCAAGTTACCTCTTGATGTCTGAGCCTCGGCCAGTGGCCACCTTCTGCCCAGGCCATAGACAAGTTAGTGTCGAGGTCCGTGTGTCCCGAGCCCTGATCCGAGCCCTTGCAGCCCCTGCTTCCTTCCTTTGCTGCCCCCGGGGTGGAGGCAGGGCAATGCTGGGTCAGGAGCTCGACAGCCTCACTCTAGGCARGGGAGGCCCCAGAGCCCCCAGTGCGGCCGGGCATCCTGTGGGGCTCTGGCACCCTTCTTAGCTGATGCAGCCTCCGTTGGGCCAAGAGGTTTGTTCTCCGGTCCCCTGCTGGGTATCCCTGGGGTCACTGTTCCCATCATGGCTCTTGGGGGTCAGTGAAGGAGGGGCTGTGATGGGGAGCCCAGCTGGGGTCACCAACCTCGGCCTGGCCCCCTGCTCTCCCCTGCCAGGAGACAGTTCCCGCCATCCCCGTCAGCCCCGAAGATCCCCTCCTGGCAGATTCCAGTCAAATCGCCGTCACCCTCCAGCCCTGCAGCCGTGAACCACCACAGCAGCAGTGACATCTCRCCAGTCAGCAACGAGTCCACGTCCCCCTCGCCTGGGAAGGAGAGCCACAGTCCCGAGGGCTCCACGGCCACCTACCACCTGCTAGGCCCCCCGGAGGAAGGCGAGGGCGTGGTGGACGTGAAGGGCCAGGTGAGGATGGAGGTGCAGGGTGAGGAAGAAAAGAGGGAGGACAAGGAGGACGAGGAGGACGAGGAGGACGACGATGTGAGCCACGTGGATGAGGAGGACGTCCTGGGGGTGCAGAGGGAGGACCGCAGAGGTGGGGACGGGCAGATCAACGAGCAGGTGGAGAAGCTGCGGCGGCCCGAGGGTGCCAGCAACGAGAATGAACGGGACTAGGGCCTGTCCCAGGGACACCGTCCAGCTGTGGGCTCTGGGCTCTGGGCTCTGGCGCTGGGCGGGGATGGCCTCAAGCCAAGGTCTGGGCAGAGCTGTGCTTGGCTGCAGAGCGTGAGGCTCACGTTTCTGTCCACATCTGCGTCTCACCTGAGCAGCATCCCAGGCCCAGCCCACACCCCACTCAGCTCAGCCCAAGCAGGTGGCTTTGCCTTCCTCACAGCCAGGCCGAGGACACCAAGCCTCGGAGCCCCAGCCCCCGGCAGTGTCTCCTCGGGGTGCTGGCCGCTGAACGTCTGGACTGAGCTGACACCGTGCATGGCAAGAGCTCGTGTGGTTACCTGCCTTCTCCCGGTGGGGAGGAGCCACAGTCCCCTTGGTCTCTGCTGTCCCTGCTCTGTCCTCTAGGCCTGGCCCATGGCTCACTCTTCGCGCTGTTTCCAGAAGCCAGAGCCCTGGACCCATTCCCCCTCAGCAACAGCCTGCCAGGGCCAGCCTCCCCACAGCTGGGCCCTGCCTGACAGGTGGGCACCTGTCCCCACCCCGGCCCACACGCCCTGGCCTAATCTCCAACAAATGAAATCACACTGCGCTTCAGACCCTCCTCGCCGGCTGTGTCGTGGTCCAGCTGATCCTGTGGGGAGGTGTGGTTTTCGCTCCACGGCAGGGCCAGGCGGCAGAGCCTTCCTGACCAACAGCCATGTCTGTCCTTCCCACCAAGGAACATGTTCATTTGTGTGATCATGTATAGATTTCAGAGTATAAGATATGATTGTATATAATTGTAATAAATACGAGTTGCCACTATTTAACTCCTGCCTGTGGCTCCCTGTCTGCTGAGGGCCCTTCGTGCGCCCTGAGGACTCCTTGGAAGCACCCCAGCTGAGCCCCAAGAAGGGCCGGAGGGACGTGGGGAGGGCGAGGGGCCTTCCCCAGGGCTGCTCACCCGGAACTGCAGGAGTCCTTCCTGTGCAGGCCGCAGGGCGACGTCCTGGGAGCCGCAGGGCCTCCTTGGCTGGGTGCAGACCTGGTGTGTGCGTGGTGAGCTTCTTCCTTAAATGGACGCGCCTTCCCAGGAGCTGGTGTCCTCTGCCTCGTCTCTGCGCCTTCCCTGCCTCCCTCTCTGCCTCCCTCTAACCTTCACAGAGCATGGAGCGCGAACCTGAGCCAGCAGCTCCTGCCAAGGGCCGCTCGGCGCTCCTCGAGTCCGCCTGGGCCGGGCCTGGGACTGCTGGCACTGCCCTGTCTGGGCCTCCTGTGGACACAGCCCAGAAATGGCACAGGCCCTGGCCACCACTGCAGGTGGCCACAGCGGGGTGCAAGCTCTCCCAGTGGCCTCCCAGGCCCTGGCCAGACTGAGGGACTTGGCCTCAGGGCAGTTTTATTCCAGGAGAGAGAGGTCACAGCCCTGCTGCGGGGCCCACCGAGGCAGCAAGTGGCCCTGCCTGTCTGGCCCCGGGAGGGCAGGCTTGTCCTCTGTCCTCATCACCTCAGGTGACGCTCCTCAGGTCTGTTTCCCCAGCCATGTGACCCTTAGGGACCTGCAAAGCCTGGTGAGAGCCATCCCTGCACTTGTCCTCTTGCTTCGTCCCCTGCCTCCTTGCATCCCTGAGAATCTCAGCTCTGGGGTGACCAGCCTGCCGGCGAGGGGACCCTGTGTTCTCAGGGACCCAAGGAATCCCAGCCTTGGTGGCCCGGCCGACTGACCTTGGCTGCTCCAGCAGAGGGCAGGGCGTGGCCCCGCCGGGGCAGCTGGTGCCGGGCCTTCCCCCTCTGGCTGCTGTGCTGCTGACCCTCCATGGTGAGGGGGGACATGGCTGCTGAGAAGACAGGACCCCCTTGGGTTTGGTCACCATTTGTCATAGTTGTTAAACTTCCGGGGTCCCTCCTAGTGAGACCAGAGAGCAGGTGTCCAGGGGAAGGTCGAGGCAGGGGAGGCGCTGGCCACGACCAGGACCTCGCGATCCCTCCCCCTCAAGACCTGGGCCCTGAAAGAGGGGTCCTGGGCTTCACTGTTCCGAGGTGGGGGCGGCAGGGCCACCTCAGGGCACGTATTCGTAGCCCAGGGGTCAGCAGGACGGAAAGTCCCCAGCTCGAGCAGGGAGGAGAAGGGGTGAGAACCTGGGGCCCCAGGCCTTTGCCCCTCAGGTCCTGAGCGCCGAGTTCTGCTCTTGAGGACAGAGAGTCTGGCATGACTTCAGGGAGAGGAAAACCCCTCCCCAAAACGCACAAGTGCTGCCTAATAAAGGCTGTTGCTGGACCAGGGCGGACGGCCCTGCGGAAAAAAAGCCTTTCATTAGAAAAATAATGCATTTCATCCAAATAAGGTAAAAATATTTGGAATGGGGCAGAAGTGAGCAGCAGGCAGCGCCTGTCAGGCCCTCTCTGGAAGGGAGTAGATTATTAAACTCAATTACAACGTCTTTTTATAAAGCGCCGTTAGGAACAGACTAGCCCAGCGCCTGGAGGCCACGGGCCAGCTGTCCTGACCCCCCCCCAACAGGCTCCCCTCTGACTCTGGGGTCTCCCTAGCACTGGGTGACTTGTGGGACTCCCTTGGACAGGGGCATTTTTGGGAAAGACAGGGGCCCTCCTTTGGCTATCGAGCCACCCAAAGAGGAGGCCAGGCCGGGAGCATCCCAGGGGCTTGCGCGGGCCTGACCCTCCTGCAGGGAGGCCCCAGGCCAGGCCCAGAGCAGGTAGTCGCCCATGAAAATCTCAGCTCCTGGGGTGACCATCTGCAGCCCGTGTCCCGGGACCTCTTGGGTGGGAAAAGGGGGCGTTCTGAGTTGGGGGAAGGGGCTACCAAATTTGTGTCCCCAAGTGTTGACCTTTTTCCTTTTGCGGAAGTACATGTCTGCTGATGAGGACGGCCAGTGGACAGGGCAGGGCAGGAGAGTCCCCTCCCACCCCTCCRGTTTTGCTGTGCCGTGTGGTGGGTCTCGTAATTTGTTTTAACATAAAAACAGAAGCTCTCCTCAGAGCTGTGCGCCTGTCTGTCCTGAACAGTGGGCGGACTGGCTGTCCTCGGGGRTCCTCACACCCCGCCCTGCCCCCCTCCCAAAGCCCATGCTGGCGCCATCTGCCTGCAGAGAAGAGGGAGGGKGCGTGGGGCAGTGCAGAGGTGCCTGTGAGACCCCCTCAGGTGAAGCATCCACCTGGGGCGGCACCAGGCCCTGGCSGCCCCACGGGCCTGACCCTCCTTTTCAACAGGAAGAGCAAAGCCACTCTTCTGTCCCTGCTCAGCGCAGGTGTGTCTTACCCTGGGGCCAATGGCCTCCTGGCCAAGGAGAATGTCTAGAAACAGGGCCAGGCCCAGGCAGGAGCCGCCGGCCTCCACGGGCACCGCCCCGGGCCTGCCACACCAGGCCACTGCTCTTGACGCTCTTTCTTATCAAAATGAGTTTGAAATCTCAGCCAGCGTTTGGGGTGATTCSACCTGAAGCGTGAAGGAGCACCCGTGAGTCCTCCCGCTCCCAGCAGCCTTCATCTCAGTGGCCTGAGCCGTTCTTTCTCCATGGCCAGTGCTGCCAGGAAGGACGTCTTCGTAGTGGCGGATGCTGGGTCCCCTGGTAAACGCCAGTAGCCCCAGCTGGAAATTTCTGCACAAGTTTATGGAGAGTCTTTGGTAGGGAACTGGGGTCTCTCTCCAGCTGTGGGCTGTGGGCCCAGGGGACATCAAGCAGCCAGCGATGGCCGCATCAGCTGTCCTCTGCCTCCAGCCCTTGCTGGGGGCCTTTGGAGCCACTTCCTGTCTGATCTGCCCCAGAGGGTAGGGCARTTCCTCCCAGGAAGGATGGCACAGGCCTGGCTTCTCTTTGTTTCTGGCAAGGCCCCAGATTCCAGTGCTTTCCAGGGGCGCTGTGGCCGGTCCTGCTTCTTGGAGGTCTGATCCAGGCTGGGGCAGTGTGTTTTCTTCCTACCCTGGGCCCTGGCCCTGGCCCAAGGCCACCTGTGGGGCCAGGTCTGACCCTCAGAACAGTAATAGACAGCCTGCCTTGCTCAGTGGCCTGCCACTCTCTGGTTGGGGCCAGACCTGCTCCAAGGACCACACTGGGGAGGGGCAGGCCACCATGCTCAGCTAGGAGCCTGTGCAGCTGGTTCTGGCTCTCGCCAGGAGGTTCCAGGGTTCCTGCTTGTGCCCCAGTTTGGGTGTTGACTGCACACCACCAGAGCTGATTAAATCTCAGAAGGAAAACATGCCCGACTGCATTTCCTAATGGGTCCAGCAAGCCACGGGCAGCTTCCTGGGGCCCTGCCCACTGCCTGCTGCCCAGCAGGGAGCGGTGCCACCTGCAGCAGCCGGCTCCCCACTGGCTGAGTGGGTCAGGTGGGTGGGCCCTTCTTTCTGCCCTCTAGGAGCAGCAGCCTGTTGTTCCCTGGGTCTTTCTGGAGGGGCGCTGTGAGACCCAGTGCCCCTTCCCTGGACCCTGTCAGGAGGCTGGCTGGGCAGCTGGTCTTACCTCCTATTTCCGGGGTGTGTGGATCTGCCAAAATCCATCCAGGCCCAGACTATCTGGGAACAGGGGGTAGTTTGGGGGCCGAGTCAAGACCATCAAATTGCTCCGAGGCTCTAGCTTCCAGGAGTCCAAGACCTGCCCCCACTCTCTGCTGCCCATTGTTTTGGTGTCCAGGGGGAGCCCTGTGGCCACACCACCCCRCAGTCCCCCTGCCGACCGAGGCTGGGACTTGGCTCCCTGCCTCCTTAAGGCCCCATGGGAGGCCATGTGCCCACCAGGGCCTACAAAGCTCCAATAATGGTTTTAATTTGTTGAACTTGAGTTTTATTCCATAAATTAGTCACTGTTTTATTTAACAGAATCAAGATATCCACAAACAATAGGCGAGTTCCAACTTGAACATTTTAATAAGACCGAAAAAAGTATATATTTTCGTGTCTGTTACAAACATATTTATGTAAATAGCCTGTGGGCCTCGGTCCAGGAGGAAGGCCGACGGGGAAGGGCCCTGTGCGCCGGGCCTGGGCTGGCCAGAGAGGTTTTGTGGTGGCAGATGACACCAAGCTGGGCTCTGAGGGGACAAGCTGCTCTGCTGTGGTCCCCAGGCAGCTGGCTGGTGCTCAGATGAGCCAGGTGCAGTGAGGGGGATGAGTGTGCCCCAGGGACCAACTTCTTGATCCCTTCAGAAAAGTGGATGTCTTCCCCTGTGGCAAGCCAGCAAGATGCTCTTCATCATGGAGGACAAGAGTGGCTCCACACATGTCCGCTCCCAGGGCCACCTGGAGGCCAGCTCGGGCCAGGCCCGACAGGATGATGAGGTTTGAAGAGGACCCTCATAAGCGTCAGGCACGTGGGAGCCAAATGAGGAGCCGTTAGGTCTGCACTTTGGGCCAGGCCTTGTGGCCACTTCCTGGTGTCCAAGGGCACCCCCCGCCCCCGCTCTGGAGCCCCCAGAGCCCGCAGCTCAGGCCCTGGCCCGTGGCTACGGACCCAGGAACTAGCCCCCAGTTCTGCCATGACGAGCCTCGAGCCGGATCCTCGCCAGCATCCGGACTGGATCCGGGTACGCGCCGTTCCTGGCCTGGGCAGGTCCCTGCAGGAAGGAGGGAGGCGCTGAAGGAGGGGCTGCAGGATGACCCCGCCAAGCACTCGCCCGGTAGCCCTGACTAGGACAGGGTAGGACGGGGTCTCGGGAAGGCCTGAGCCTCACTGCTGGRTGGCCCTACCTGAGGGTGCTCCTGAGCCTCAAGCCGGGTTTCAGGCAGGGCCCAGGATGGGAGGAGACCACTTTGCAGCAGGGCAAGTCCTGAGCCCACCACTGTCATCAGCAAGCTGGAAGAACCTGGCCTGGTGCCCAGGACAAAACTGGTCTGTCCCCCGTCTCCCCACTGGGCTTGAAGATGACCAGCACCCTCCTCCCTTCCCTTCACTGGCACATGGAGCAGGGCTTGTTTGCACCACCCCACATAGCTGGGTCACGGCCAGCCGCTTGGGGGCGATTTTAAAAATAAAAGATAACTTGATGGATTTTTTTTCCAGTTTTTATTGAGTGAAAATGTCAAACCTTGCATCAGTCATGCAAAAAAAAAATCAAATAAATAAAACACATATATTAAATTTCTAATAGCACTAAATTCAAGTGGAAAAATATTCAGTTCTTAATAACCAGGTGCCGAGGAGACCAGATTCAAGTAATCAGAGCACGCGCTGTTCAGTTCGGTTTCACGTTCTGCGTTTTTTTGTCTCAAAACCTCTCTATACATCTCTATATATCTATATATGTATATACATATAGATATATACACACATATGTGCATACATATTATTTTATATTTATATATATACACATACATAGTTATAAAACATTAAAAAGAGCATTGGTGGATCAAGCATCATTTTCCCCACAGAAAGAAAATAAAACAAAAATTACACATTAAAATTCAAAATGAGCTAGCAATGGCTTATAGTCCTAGTGTGCAATATGAAGGTTACAAAAGGCTAGACTTCGCACTGTCGGCATCTTCGTTTTTCTTTTTTTTTTTTTTATTTTTTGTTTGATTTTGCTACATTGAAAAAATGTTTTTTTTTGTTGTTGTTGTTTTTGTTTTTTTCCTTTACAAAACTCCTTAGACAGAGTCCTGTGGTAGGTCAGAGTCTGGGCAAATGCTCAGCAGCAGCACGTGGTGCCCACAGGATTCAGGAGGCTCTGGTAGGGGCTGTTTAGAAATCAATTGACTTCCTGTTGAATCAGGTGCACTGTCTGACTGCTCCTCCCTCCCTGCTCCCTCTCCAGCTCAGGGGGTCCTGGCTTTCTAGCTGTGGGCAGCTGAGAGGAGACACACACACACACACACACACACACACACACACTCACACAGGAAAAAGAAAACCACTGCCCTTGAAGCCCTTTGGGGTGGGTGGGGGCTTCAGGGAGATAAGACTCTACCCCACCCCTCTAATGCCTGCTGGGCCTGTTCTTTCTCCCCAGCCGGAGGCCCCCTGGGGCCCTGAAGTGCAGAAGAGGGACAGAGGCTGGAGGGCAGCCTGCCCCGTCTGGGGACTGCAGCAGCCAGGTCAGGTGTGAGCCTGCCATTAGCCCTGCACTGGGCTGACAGCCTCAGAACCTCCAGGAGGCGGGGTTTGAAAAGGGGCCGAATCTGGGTGGGTTGCACCAGCCTAGAAGCATCCCGAGCAAAATAAGAAGACAAACTGGGACAACAAGCAAGAAGCCCTCAAAGCCACACGCATAACCAACAGAGGGAAACTCCAATGTTAAATTAACTACAAACTCGTGTCAACAGTAATAGTCCATTTTTCTTGTCTCTACAAAATTCAAGTTAAAAGTTGGAATCACGCAGCTCCCATCAGTGCTAGTGTGAAGACGGACAGCCTCAAACTGCTAAGGCCTCTAAAATCAAAGCTAAACATCCCGCGGGAGAAGTCGCACCCCCTTCTCCAAGCTCAGGCTGGTCCGCGGGGTGTGGCACTCCGCCGCCCGCTTTTGCTTGTCTTTTTTTTTTCCTTTGCTCTACGTAGAATAATAACCTTTACAGGAAAAATACTGTACAACTTCTTGTATTTTTTTCCATTTTGAATATTAAAGCCCAAAACAGCCGCGTCCTTCCTGTTTGCACCACCAGGGTGGCTGATACCCCAGTCCCCAAGGCTCCATTTGGGTGGGTTGGGACACAGCCTCTTTTTTTTAACGGGGTGGGGGTGGGGGGCTGGGACAACCGCAGCCGGGGGGCGGGGGCAGGGGCAGGGGCGGCAGCCTGGCCCTGGAGCACCGGGCAGCCGCACTGAAGGGCCCGCCTGCTGCTATCTTCAGATTTCCTCGATGTCCCTGTACTGTCACCCGTGCTGCCCGCCTTCCCCTGGGCAAGCGGGGAAGACTTAGCTGCATTAAGGGGGCTCCCCCGGCCAGACGCTACAGGTGGCGGCCCCGCCCCCGGTGGCCGGTGGGGTCCCAGTGGCCTCCAGCGCCCGCCCGGTCCTGAGCAAAGAGCTGGCGGCGGTCAGCGCGCGCCCGGGCGAGCACCTGCTGTTCCCTGAAGACCCCGCTCGGCGGGCAGGGGGCGGGTGGCCTGTCCTCCGCCGCGGAGCTGCGCGTTCCGGGCGGGGCGGCCCGAGCACCAGAGGGGTCCCCGCCTCTGTCCTGAGACGGACTCGGGGTCCGGAAGCACCTGCGGGGCGCCCGGCGGGGCGGGCGAGCGGCTCTGTTCAGGGGCTTCACATGGAGACAGCGTTTCTTTAAAGCGCGCCGGGGACAGTGGGGACAGTGACGCCKCGGGAAGAGGCGCGCTAGGGCGACGCGGCGGCGGGCGCGGGGCCGGGGGCGCCCAGAGCCGCCAGCGCCGGGGTCCGCGCGCCCGCCTCGGCCGCCGCCTCGGGCAGCGACTCCTCCGAGTCGGTGCGCAGGTCCTCGTCGTCGTCGTCCTCCTCGTCCTCGTCCTCGTCGTCGTCCTCGTCGTCGTCGTCCTCGTCATCCTCATCCTCGGCCTCCTCCTCCTGCAGCTCCAGCTCCTCCTCCTCGTCCTCCTGCGAGGACTCCCCGGCGGCGCCCGCGGCCGGGCCGGGGGCGGCGGGGACCTCCCGTGGCGCGGGGGCGGCGTCGGGCGGGCCGGGGTCGCCGGCGTCGCCGAGCGCCAGGCCCAGGCCGGCGGCGGCCGTCTGCAGGAAGAGCAGCGAGCCCCCGGGCTCGGCGGCCAGCGTGAGCGAGCCGTCCAGGCTGACGGGCGCACCGGGCGAGGCGGCAGGCGGCTCGCCGCGCTCCTGCTTCTCGTGCTTGCGCTTGTGCGAGTCCATCTGCGACATGCCCACGACCGTGTGGCGGCAGCCCGGGTAGGTGCAGTGGAAGTGCGAGCACTTGAGCTTGTACTTGCAGTCCGGCACCGCGCAGTCGGCGCTCGAGCTGAACTGGCAGAAGCCCGCCGCGCTGATCACGTCCTGCTTGCCGTGGTGCTTGCGGTGCGCCGTGACCTTGGTGCTGTCGGTGCAGCGGAAGCGGCAGCGCAGGCAGTGGAAGTGCGTGCTGGTGCCCGAGAAGGGGCAGTCGGCGAAGTGGCAGCTGAGCGAGGCCTTGAAGCGCTTGAAGTCGTCCAGCACCAGGTTGTCCACGCGGTCGTGGTGCTGCGCGTGCTTGTACATGTGCGTGCGCCCGCAGAACTTGTAGCCGCAGTTCTCACGCGTGCAGTGGTAGTGGGTGACCTTGAGCGAGAACTGGCAGGCCGTGTCCTTGCAGTCCTCATAGAGGTCGAAGCGCCGGAAGCCCTCCAGCATCATGCCCTCGTCCAGCATCTTGCGCGAGGAGGCCGTCTTCCGCCGCTTGCCGAAGGGCGACATGTCCTCAATGATCCAGAAGCGCTTTTTGGCACCGGAGGCTGTGGGCATGGAGATGGTGTTCCCTGGGGAAGGGGCACAGGGCAGTCAGTGCAGAAGGCTGCCTCTTTTGCCAGGGTCACACTCACACAGGGCCCTGACCCTGGTCTAGTGGCCAGGGCGCCTCTCCCCACCCCCAGAACAGCAAAGGAGTCCCAGGCTTCCCTTGTCATCCAGACCTGCAGACGACCACACGTGCATCCCTGGGTGGCAGACCAACCAGCTTTGCAGGGATGTGGTGGCTGCTTCCTGACCAGTTTGGGTAGGAAGTGAGGACATGTCCTGGTGCTAATTGAAGCTGAAGGGAAAATCTAGGTCGCAGAGTGTAATTACCCAAGTTGGAGGGGGGCCAGGGCCCATCACACGCCTGCCTCTAATGAGGGACAGGCCGGCTCCTTTCCCGGCTCCTTTCCCGCCGCAGGCAAACCAGTTCCCCGGCTGCCTGCCTGTCTGCATGGGGACCTGCCTACTCACAGCCGGGATCAAGTGCCCTAGGCCATCTGGGGCTGTAACTGCCCTAGGAGCACCTTCTCCTCGGTACCAGAAGGCTCTTTAAGGTCTTAAGGTTTCTGCCCCTAGTGGGCCTCCTAGGCCAGGCCTCAGGAACTAAATACCAAAAAGATACCAACCCCCTGCTCAGAGTCTCCTCGCTGGGCCAGACCTAGACAAGGGCTTAGCTAGAGGTCAGGCACCCAATCAGCGCCCAGGCTGGCCCAGAATGCTTCCCAGGACTTAGGAGCCCACTGCCAAGGGCTTGCTTCCTCACCCTTTTCAGAAGGCACCCACTGGCTACACAAGGGGGAGGCAGCACTCCCCAGAAATCAGGGACCCAAGGCCCAGACCCACCAGAGGGGGGCTTCCTCCAGGCTGCTCCCTGTGCTGGCCGAGGGCCATGGCCCTTCTGAGTCTGCCAGAATGCCTGGCCACCGCTCTGTCCACCAAATTACTGCCTTGCTGATTTGGAGAACAGGCCCAGTCACCCACCCTTAGCAGATGAAGAGAAACTGAGGGCTGGAATGGGGTGGGGGCACTAGGCAGGGGCCACGGGAGAGCCTCAGGCCTGGAAATCCACCAGGGATGATGTGTTCTTGGGTCTGAAGTCACAGGGTGACAGCTCTCAATGGGCAGAACCCATGTACTTACTGCCACAGCCACTGGGGCCTGGCACAAAGCCATGCTCAGGCACAATGTGAGGTGACAATGCATGGAAGGTGGTGTGCCGTCTGCAAGGTGAGGGGCCAGCAGACCCTCCCCGTGGGACCCCAGATATGGAGTTGGGGCAGGAAGAGCTTCTATCACAGAGCACAGCCCGAGGCCTGRGGGCTCCCGAGGTTTCTTCCCCTGGCTCAGCTTTAAGGGAGGGGTGGGGCCAGATCAAGACCCTCGAATCTGGGTGGGAAGCTGAACCCCTGAGAGCCACAGGGACAGGCTCTGTTCTGCCCAAGCCCAAGGTGAGGCCACCCTGAGCAGCCAGCTGGAATCTGGCATGCCTACTCTGGGCTGTCCAGTTGCTGARCAGGGGCAAATGGCTGGCAGGAATGCTCTGGTCTGAGCAGGAGTCACAAGGAGCTRTCTTTGGGATAGGAGCCAGGCTTTCTGGTCTCAGGAGTGCTTGGCCATCAGGATGCAGGGTGGCCCTGTCCTTSACTGAGCTGGCCACAGAAAAGGGTCAGGTCCTGGACCACAGTCTCAAGGATCGGGTGGGGTGACAGATACTGCTGAGAATGTGTGTGCGAGTTACCTGCGGCRTCCTGAACTAGGGGGACGTCACTTTTTACTGGAGTTGGAGTGGCAGTGACAGGCGGGAAGCTGGGCGGGCTGCTGATGGGGTGGGCCAGGCCGCGACTGGCTCCCAGAGTGGCACTGAGCAGAGAGTATGAGAGACAGGACGGAGAGAAGAGGCATGGGAGGGGGGGGAGGGGCGGCCGGAGCGCAGCCGGTGGGAAGGGTGGAGTCAGGGGGGGCCGTGGGGCCCCACGGGCGGCCTCGTCACCAGTGGCAGCAGGAGGAGGAAGAGGAGGAGGAGGAGGAGCCGGGCCGCCTGGAGAGGGTGGAGAAAAGCAGAGAAAAAAAAAAAAAAGAACCAAAACAAAGAACAAACAAACAAAAAGAACCAAAATGAGAAACCAATGGTGGAGCAGGTGGGAGACACTGGACAGAGGAGCAGAGAGAGGAGCGAGAGGAGGGAGGCCGCAGGGCGGCTGTGAGCGGTCAGGGCGGGCCTGGCAGGCGGGTGCCTCTCTTGGACCCCAGGCCCAGGCTGCAGTGGGCCAGGGCCTGAGCGGGGCCAGGGCCTGAGGGGGGCCAGGGCAGGCGGGAGGGCTGGGCTGTACTGCCTTCCTGGAACTCTGGAGGACAGGCCCAGGCTCCTCTCCTGGAAACTGAAGCACAAGGCAGAGTGCTGGGGAGGTGGCAGGATGGTAGGAGGTGGCCTCAGTGTCCCACATCCCACACACCAGCTGGTCCACTGCACACCAGCCTGTCCTCCTCAGGGCCACCTCACTGTGAACCTTGTGTCCAGGATGGACGCGGCAAAGCGGGGCTGGAGGCAGGGGTCCTGAGCTCACCTGCCGCTGTGCTCTCGTTGCCCACAGGGGTGCTGGAGCAGCTGCGATCCATGGTAGAGGACTCGGAGGAGGCGGCACCTGGGCTGCAGCCCGTGTAGTCCATGCCCTCATCTGTCTCAGCATCCATCAGGCTTGGGGGGCCCTGGGAGGAAGCAGGGTGCCTGAGGAGCTGTTTGCCGCCTTCGCTAGGGGCAGCAGGGCCTCCCCGGGGTTGGTGGAGCCACCCACAGGCCTGCTTGAGGCACTCACCTGGGAGGCGGGCACTCGATCAAAGTTCTTCCCGAGCATCCTGCGCATGTGCTTCCGGGCGTGGGAGGTCATCTGGTGCTTCAGGAGGAAGGAGAACTGGCAGCCCTCCCGGATGCAGTGGAAGTGGCTGTTCACCTGGTTGTACTTGCAGCCTGTGGGCACGACCCCACCTGCATAAGCCTCCCCAGCCAGCCAGTGCTCACAGCCAGTGTGTGTTGGGCACTGTTCTGGGCACAGGGAGTGATCGACAAGGCCAGTGGCATGTGCACCCTGACCTGCATTTCTCCGAGGAAAGCTTACAATCAGCCACCTGCAGGAAGTCCAAGGCTGTCCAGACCCACTCCCTGCCCACATACTGTAGGAAGGAAACCTAGTGGGCCCTGTCCACAGCATGCCACCTGTCCCCAACACCTTCTCTGGGGACCTGGGCTGGTAGGTGTGGCAGCCAGCCTCCACCCTGCCCCCATGTCTCTCCTTTGCTCCAGGCTGAGAACAAACAGAACAGGTGGGGCCAAAATAGCATCAGCTGAGGGCAGGTGAAGGCCTGCCCGTCACCATGGCACCGAGCTGGCCAGGTGTCTTATATCATCCCCCGGCTTTGTTTGGCCCCAGCTACCACCAAAAACACCAAAAGTTGAGTAAATAATGGCAACTTCAGAATACCCTGACATCTGTAAACTGAGCCCCGTAACAGCATGGACTTCTGAGTGTTGACACCTGTCACCATGGTTACCGGCCCTCTCCTGGCCATGAATCCTTTTTGAATTAATACTTGAAGGAAAGATTTGTTTCCTTTCTTTTCTGGCAGTTGATGAGTATCTTGCCCTTCCTCTGTGGAAGGGCCTGCCTGCAGCCTCCCTCTGCCACCAGCCCCTGAAACCATGACCACAGGCCACAGCCGGCCTGGCCTGCAGCCTGCAGCCCAGGTGTCCATGCTGACACCTTCTCCTGCCTTTCCTTCAGCTTCCAGTCTATTCCCAGGGAGATTCCCATCCCAGTCTCTTCCCGATGATTCCCATCATCAACAGGCCTATGAACACAGGGCTCCCTCCTGRGGCAGGAGGGTGGGCTTTGCTCTCTGCCTGCTGACCCTAGAGCCCCAATCCCATTGGGCATCCCCAGAAGGAGGCCCTGTTCCCTGTGGGGCTCAGATCTCAGCATCTATCACCAAGCTCAGGGCTGCGGGTGGCCTCTTCTTCCCAGACCCATGGCTACCTCCTTCCTGAGTATCCTGCCAATCAGATTCTCCAGCTGAGCCCACACATCTTCGCCAGGTTTCCAGCACCAAGTCCAATGCCAGCACATACCAGACACTCAAAAACTCTTAGCCACTGCCACTGTCACCACTCCCGTGTCCCTGCAATAGCTCTGGCACACAGCTGTTTTTCAGTAAATTACTGCTGAATGAACGAACAAACAATGGCATATTTTAAACAAAACCCTACAGTTGAAGCTATGGAAAGCAACCCAGGGCGAGTGATTTCCAAACCCCTGAGAAGCTCACCTGCCTGCCCTCTGGAAAGGGGAAAAGAATCAAGCTGAGCCCTGAGGCTCAGTGAGGCTCCAGGCATCCTGCTTGCACGGAGGAGGCCAGAGTGACTCTCGTCCTCTTCCCTGGGATGTGTTAGGTTTGACACCTTGTGAATTTGACAACTGGCCTGTACCTGCCAGAAGTCCCTACCCACCCTGGCTTAGTACCTAGCCTGCCGCACTCCTCGCGCTTGGTGAAGTATTTGAATCCGTTGGCTGCCCGCCGCTCAGCTTTCTCATGCTTCTTTATGTGCCAGGGCAGCTTGGTGGTGATGTTGGTGACGAAGTAGCAGCCAGTCCGGAGGCAGTGGTAGTGTCCACGCATCCGGAACTCACAGTGCTGCAGGGAAGCACAGGCAGATCAGGACAGGTGGGGCCTTGTGTGGGCTGCGGCCTGAACTGGGACTCTGGGCTGTGGCAGGCCCTTGGCACATGTGTTCTTCCACACCCAGAATCAGAAAATGCAATCTTGTAAAGAACTTTCACATGCCAAAAAGCAGCATGTCCCTCTGTCATTTCTCTGAACATCCTATTTAGTTATTTTTTTTATTTTATTTTTTTTAAATATTTTATTTTTTAGTTTTTGGCAGACACAACATCTTTGTTTGTATGTGGTGCTGAGGATCGAACCCGGGCCGCACGCATGCCAGGCGAGCGCGCTACCGCTTGAGCCACATCCCCAGCCCCCTATTTAGTTATTTTGCCATCCTTCAATGCCACCCAGAGCAGACATCACTAATCTATCCCAGTCATCTTCCCTTCATAGCTGGACCTACCTAGGTAGGCACCACTAATCTATCCAGCCAGTCTTTTCTACACACCCAGACCTCTGCTCTGAGTCCTCAGGTAGCCCCTATCTTGGGGACAGGCCTTTAAAGTGAATTTTATCTGCTCTTCCTGTCTGGGCATGGACAGTTGTCTTTATCTATCCAATGGGCCAATTTAGAAATTTTATGCATCTGGAGAAAAGGGAAATAGCCAATTTCAAGATGGGTAAGAATGATCTTAAGTACACAGCAGCAGCATAGTGTTTAGTTGCCACTGGGGGTTAGGACTAAAATAATAGACCTTACCAACTTAGTACCAATCTGGACCCCAGCCCAGGGGCCTCCAGGGGCCTAGGGGCAGTGTCCTTTCCAGGGTCTAGTGGAAGCCAACTTAAAAAGGGTGCAAAAAGCAGAGTCTCTGCCAGGAGGAACTGGTCCCAGGCCCTGTGGCTCCCCTGCCCCCACAGCTGGGCCGCCCGCTGTGCTAACCTGGTTGGGACAGAGACACTGCAGGGAGTAGTAAGCAAACTGGTCTCGCACGTTCACCAGGCTGTTGTTGGGGTTGATGTGGTCCAGGCAGTGAGACTCAGCCTTGCCRGAGGTCTTGCAGACATACTTGCAGTTCCCAAAGAGGCAGTGGAAGTGGAACTTGTTGGCGTACTTGCAGTCTGTCGCGAGGCAAGGGTCGCTGCAAGGAAACCACAGCCCAGAAGGTCATTGGTGTTCCCAAGCCCTCCCTGCTGGTGTCCTGACTGTGCTGTGTTGGGGTTCACTCCTCTGTCACCAGTGGTACAATCAAGAGAAATGTCCCCAGATTGCCCTCCTGCTTAGCAGGACGATTCAACCAGAGACTACAGATCCCAGCATGCATCCCAGCCTCCTTTTAGGAGTTCTGCCTGGTGCACAGGGATTGCAATATGCAGGGTGCCCAGAGCGTTGCATGCTGGGACACGTAGTTTCCACAGCCACACCTCGGGATTATAGATAAGGATGGCTGCAATAACTTCTTGGAAATGAAAATAAGGGATGGTGCTGCCAGCCCTGGCAGGATGCCATCAAGGGCCTGGCTGGCATGGCATGGCACTGATTTGGATGTGGTTGACTGACAGGCTGCAGATGGGTGGGTGGCCCTACCAGGAGTGCTGCTACCAAGGACCTCAGTAAGTGGGAACGTGTGTCAGGGCCTGCTGAGGCTCACAGCTGATGGCACTCCCTAGGGTCAGCTGAGGCCTATGATACCCACCTGCTCAGAGACCTAGGAGCCAGGGGAGTGGTAAGGGATGGTGGGTGGGCATGGGCGGGGAGTACTGGGCCATCCCCTATGGCTGGCCTGCTTGGGAGGCAGAGGAGTGGAGCGGGCCCCTACCTGGGAGCCCTGCTTCCCATGCTGCAGGGGGCTGTGGGAGGACGAGGGGCTCTAGCTTTTGACTGGCAGGTAAAGGTAACACTGCACTGGCCAAGGAGCGCAGCCCTGGTGGGGGCTCTGACAGCAACCAGGAAACTAGGAGGGCACCACTTCTGGGGGGGCGAGGGGGAGGGACGGAGAGGAGTCTGTCCCCTTCCAAATCACGGGCCCAGCCCCAGGTGCTCAGAGAGGGAGGACAGTTGCCACTCAGGCGGTATAAATAATCCAATTTATTACTTTTATTGAGAACAGGAAGCCGCACACATTACGATACAAAGTCACCGTTCTCGCCGCAAGGAGCCACCACCAATCAGTGAGAAAGGTCCCTTCCACCCGAGACTCCGGCCACTATGCAGGGGGTGCAGGCCTGGGAGGGGCCTAGCCCATCACACCCACCTGTGACTTCCGGCCCTGCAATCTCAGCAGGTTCGAGCCACTGAAGAGGCCAGCGAGGGAGACCCTCCCTGTTGGGCCAGGAGACCTGAGAATCCACTCTCAGCCCATCCCAACTGGTCCTGGGGACCACTGCTGCTACCTGCCACCCGCTGGCTGCTTGGGATGGGCAGAGAGGCGGCGCCAGCACAGCATCTTTGGCTAGAAGGATGTGGCCCAGAGGCCGTTTCCCAGAGGGTGGGGACATCCAGTGTTAACTCTGCACGGTGAGGAACAGGGCCTCCTCCTGCCCTTGCCACACCCACTCCCAAGACGCTCGGGGACGGGGCGCCCGGCTCATCGAGGGACTCACTTCTCCTGGAACTGGAGGAATCCGGGTTTGACCTGGGGCTTGGCATTCTCTAGAGAAGTCGTCGCCAAGGGTGAGGCGGGCAGGTGAGGCACTGATGCGGGAATCTGAGGCATCTGGGGTATGGTGGAAGCCAGCTGCTTCCAGGCGAGCAGGGTGGGGGTGGAGGGCACCGAGGCCGGGCTGGGAGCAGGTCCCTCCAGACAGGTCCCCGGGACTGTGGTGCCAGGAGGTGCCGGAGGGGGTGAGGGTGCCAAGGAAGGTTTGGTCTCAGCAACAGAGGCCGGGAAGGAAGCCTCTGAGCTTCCTTTCACTGTTCCGCCCTCCGTCCGGAAGTGGAAGCTGGAATGGGCAGGAGAGGTCACGTCAGGTGGGGAGCTAAGAGGCCGCTGCAGCCCAGCCCCTCCCTGGCTGCCTGTGCACAGGAGCTGCAGGCGTGGTGTGACCCCATCGCAAGACCGGGGCCCAGCACAGGGACCTCATGCTCAGCAAGCTCTCCGTGATCCCGCCAAGACAGGAAGCCTCAGAACAACTGCTGCGCCCTAGCTCTGGGCTTGGCCCTAACTCTGTCTTCCTACCTGTGCCCTGCCTCTGTCCAGGCGGGAGCCTCCCTGGGTATATGTGTGAGAGTAGCCCTGCCTCACGAAACCTGCTCTGACTATTCAGTAGGCTCCTGTGCAGGCCAGCGGCTGGGACAAGATGCCCACGTGGTGAGAAAGGCCTGGTGTGGGGCTCAGGGCACAGAGATCTGTCTGGAAGGCTTACAGGTTTTGAGTCAGTTACAAGTAGTGGCCGGGCTCGCTGCTTTTAAACTCCATGGCATTCGCAGATTCATTTTGCTGTTCTGGGTCAAAGGGACTCAAGATGTCGCAGTGGAATGGGAAAGGCCTTTGCCCTGGGTCTCTACCCTGGGTCGACACTGAGTCTCTGGCCACTCTGCAGGGGCACCTAGGGCATGCTGCCAGCCCCACGGGTCCTGGCTTGGGAGCAGCTGGCGCTAGGGTATCAGGTGGGGCCCAGGCAGGGCTCTCTGGACACAGCTGGCTGGGGGCTGAGTGTGTGGAAGGAAGACCGGAAGCCCATCCTCCTTTGGACACTTCCCTCCTGAGGAGCCAGCCGCTCTGTGGTCTGGTGGGAACTGCAACAGGCTGTGTGGTATCCAGCCCCACAGAGCCCTGAGCGAGAGATGACAGGGCCCCCAGGTCCCCACTCACTTTGCATGCTTGATGGCCCCGTCCAGGGTGCTGAAGAGTGCACCACACTCCTCCACCACGCAATGGAAGTGTGCCTTGTGGAGGAAGTCACACTGGGCGTCGCAGAAGTCCTTGGTACCAAACCTAGCCACATGAGCCAGCAGGGAGGAGGCTCCAGTTAGAGGTGGGCTGCTGCTGGGGCCACCGCCAGCCTTCCCTCCCTCCCTGCTCTCGGGCAGCTCCTCACCTTCGTAGGTACACTCTCCAGGGCTCTGAGAGCTTCTCCTGAACGACAGCCTTTGCAGCCTTGCCCAGGAAGGGCGAGGACTCCGCGGCGGGGCTCCCCTCTGCTTCTGTCTTGATGCTTAGCAGGCTGCCGAGGCTGGGGTTGCCCTGAGACATCTGTGAAGACAGAGGCCAAGCTCGGCTCTGGGAGCCTCAGGACAGACACGCTGCTCTGTGACCACCAGAGCACTCCGGGCAGGGAGGAGGGAATCTGTGGCCCCCCTGGGCTCCAGCTAGAGAAAGGCCCTGCCTGGACAGCTGGGGGCCTGGCCTGAAGGCGCAGGGCCTCTCCAAGCAATCCTGTGCTGCTGGAGCTGCGGCTCTGCGGCTCTCGCTGAGGCCACCACCCAGGGTGCGCACTGTGGCCCATCTTCCCCCGACTTCGTGGCTCCCTGGTTATTTTCCTGCCAGAAGGTTTTTCAAAGGAAGTGCAGGAGGAGGAGGGATGGGGGGAACCCCTATGAATTCCTTGAGAACCAGAGAAGGCGCACAAAGGAGGTGTGGGGAGGGAGGGAGACTCATGGGGTGAGAGCAGACAGGCTCCCTGCTCGGGAGGGGGGTCAGCCCACAGGCTCCCCAGGAAGGAAGAAGGCGTGCAGTGGGCAGTGGCCAGAGGAGTGAGAGCAAGAGAGCAAGCAGGAGAGGAGAGGAGGTAGCAGGCTCCTGCCTGCCAAGTGCCCAGCTGGGACCCACCCCACGAGGTCCAGCCTGGGCCAGCTCCCTCTTCAGCCCCATCACTGTGTACAGTAACCAAATTAATCTTGCTGCAGTCAAGTTTATCATGTGAAGGGGAAAAATATATTTGAGATGATGTATAATTTACAAAGACCCTGCATTATTTAAAATAAATATTCCAGAGCGACCTCTCCGGAAGGCGTCCGAGACCATTACTCAACCCGAAAAGTGGAAATTGATGCTGCTCCCACTTTAGTCCCCCCTCCCTGACCCCTTTTTAAACAAACAAAAAATATATAAAATAAATAAATAACATTAATAACTAAGGGTGAGAGAAGTTAGAGGGCTCCGGAAAAGCTTTTGGAGCCCTCCATCTGAAGGAAAAAAAAGGTGTCAGAGGCTGGAATATATTTCTTCAGCCAGTTCATTAAATTAATTTGTAAGCAGTGGCTCTGAAATTATATTCGATGAAAAATGGCCTCAAAATTTAAATGGTACAAACTCATCTTATTAGAGGGAAAACATTAAAAAACAAACACATCCCCCCCACCCCCCAGCACAGCTTTAATTTCTTGGGGTGGGGGAGCAGGAGGCGTGTGATGGATGGTTCTTACCTTATTCATAAGCGAGGATAAAAGAGATGAATTTGCCGGGGCTGCGTGGCCATTTGATTCATTACTAGAACACACAAACCAAGGGGCTTTCAGCTCCGACGTCCGTGGGACCAACCCAGAGCCTACCCGCCCCCAGCCCTGCCTGCTGCGGCTGCCTGGCGGGAGGTGGGCTTGGACAGGAGGGCGAGCTGAACCCCAGGGTCCAGCCCAGGGTGCTTGTCAAGGGCTTCTCTCTCCAGCAGCACCTCACCTGGATTCCTTTACAGTCAGGTCTAGACTGCGGTCTTGGGAGGCCTCAAGGGGGCCTGGGGTGCCAGCGCTCTCACCCGGCTCCAGCTTTACCTGGGCTGGAGGGAACCTGGCAGGGGTGGCCTGCTGCCCGCTTCCTGCAGGAGAGGGGAGGGAAGATGGGGTCAGAGGGGCCCAGGACTCACATGGGCACAAACCCTATTCCCCACAAAAGGAGGGCAGTAGCCTGGTAGGCCAGGGGTCTGGGGAGGCCTCACTGCTGGTCAGCGATTCTCCCTGCTGACGTGATCGCTTGAGACGCTTACCCCTGTGTGGCAATTCTTCAAGTGATAATTATTGCAAAATTATGTCAAAGTTGGCCTGGCTCAGGGCCTCCTGGAGAAGGGCGGGAGGCTGAGGAGGGGGCTGGGGCGGGTGCAGGGGCCCTTCGTTTTCCTCACCAACTGTCACAGTCGATTTGTGGGGCTGCCGTTTAAGCTTTTATTAAAGACTCTGTTAATGCTGAGGGAAAGTGGCAGATCTGGACAGAGCAGCCCCTCCTTGGTCCCTGGCCTGCTGTTGCCGGGGAGACAGCCTGCCTGCACTGAGCATGCCCAGAGAGGGCATCTGCTGTGTCAGGGCTACCGAGCTGACGGCCAATCAGCAAACTGTGTGACCTCGCCGCCCGTCAAGCTGTCCAGGGCAGGGGCTCAAGGCCTGGCCAGGATGGGTCTGAGGGGGAGCTGGGTGGGAAGAGGCCGTAGGAAGCCGAGCAGATCAGGGGCAAAAGAAGCTGACAGGAAGGTGTCCACTGGGCCCAGCTCCACAATCCCCAAGTGACTGAAATATTAATCTGCCCCAAGGCGCTACAGCTGACAGGACTGCTTCAGACTGCAAGTGGCATTTTATTAAAAATACAGGAAAATGGCTCCCTCCCCTGCGCCTGACCTTTCTTTTGYGGGGGAGGGGAAGGAGACTTTTGTAGGAAAAAGAAAGTACTTGACAGCTTGGCCACTGAGCCCAGGGTGGCCTGGGAGGGCTCAGTTCTTGGTTGGGGGTGTGGCCAGGGAGTGGAAGGTGGGGCCTCCAAACTGCCCCCTGGGATCTGAGTGCCCCACCAGGGAAGTGAAAGGGTTCTCAGCCTTCAGGAGTCCACACCCCCGCAGCTCCTGAAGTCATTTATCCCCAGTCACAGGAAAACAGGCCTGGCTCCCTATCCTCCAGGGCTAGAACTCTCAAGGAGGTGTGGGCAGAGCCCCAGGCTGGGACKGAGGGACCCTCTGTCTGTCCTGGCCGGTTCCAAGATGGTCTCAAATGGGAGCAGAGTATCTGGACCTGGCAGCCAAGGTGCTGAGGACCGTCTCAACTTTGTCACTTTCAGCTGTGTGATGGGGACGGGCCACCCCACTGCTCCATCAGCACCACAGGACGGGGCTGGCTTCCACGTCCTCCTGCCTGTGTGTCCCCAGAACCCACTCAGTGGTAGCCCTAGGCAGGCACCCAGCAAGCACCAAGGGTTGTTGAGTGAATGAATGAGCCACCTCCTGGACGGAGCTGAACACTTCTCAAGGGCTCAACTAAGACAAATTCCCAGACGGGGAAGCAAAGGGAGAGGAGCCAGGGAAACCAGGAGAAAGAAGGAAGCAAGGAAAGGAGGAAGGAGGGGGCCACCCTGAAGCAAGTCAGTGCCAGACCAGAAGAAGCCACTCTTGGCTCCAGGCCACACTGTCCATCAGGGAGCACTGGCCAGCGCGCCTGCTTAGATGAATCACACTGCAACCCAGTGCCTCTTCACTCTGACCAGCTGGGCACTCCACAGCCACCTGGCTAGTGGCTGCCATGCTGAAGAGCGTAGGGTGGGTTTTCCCCACGTAAGTTCTGCTGGGGGAAAGCTGCAGAGGTGTCCCTCGGCCTGGAGGGCTGTCCAGGTATGAGGTGCAGTCACCCTGCCACTGTGTTGGACCTGTCCCCCTCCAGGTCATCTGGAGGAGACTCAAGAGGAGAAGGGGGCCAGGGACAGCTCTCCTCAGGGACTCATCTGTGATGTGGGAGGTGAGAACACAGCGAGCCAACAGAATGCAGAGGAGCCCAGGAGGGAGGTTCCCGCCTCAGGAGAAACAGGCGAGAACTCCCTGGGCAGGGGCCCAGGTGGGGCTCTGAGGGGRAAATACACAGGAGGGAGGCAGAGACCAGGCAGAGAGGGGGCACTGCTTGGTGCAAGACTGGAGGGTGGAGATCAGACAGGCGGCTCCCCGGCACCACCCTACTCTGCTCTGCAACAGGAGTGCAGGGACGGAGCCTCTGGGACCCAGAAGGTGCTTGCTTCCTGGGCAGGGCCTGGCCTGCTCACCTGGGTCAAAGGTGGCAGAGGGCTTGAGGGCAGCTGCGGCCAATCTGGCCATCATGGGTGAGATGAGGCCCTTGCTCGCAGAGATTCTCTCCATGATGGAGGCAGGGGGCACCGGGACAGAGGTGGCAGTCGCCAGGGCCGAATCTCCAGCTCCCGAAGCCACCAAGGTAGGTGTGTCGGGGGTTGCTGAGGCTGCTGCCCCAGATGACATGGCACCCAGGAGGCCAGGGGCACCCACAGGCAGGGAGGTGCTCCCACGACCAGGAAGAAGGGGGAAGTAGGGTGCGGTGGTGGGCAGGCCCGAGTTGGAGAGGGCCAGTGCCAGGGGGATGGAGCCTGGCAGGCCCTGGGGCATCAGCCCCTGGATCTTGCTGCTAGGAGGCTTGGTGGCACTGGGCGTGCCCTCGGTGGTGGCAGCGGCAGTGGCCAGGGATGCAGAGGACTGTTGGCTGGTGGGGGAGGCGCTCAGGCTGGAGTTCTTGCTGCTCAGGGCAGAGAAGTCCACCAGGTCGTCGTTGCTGGACTCCTCAGGCTCCGTGTCCTTGGYGCCCAGCAGCGAGGGTGGCAGCCCCAGCACGCCCGAGGAGCGGACATGGCGGCGCTCGTGCTTGCGCTTGTGCGAGGTCATCTGGCTGGTGGAGGTGAAGGTGAAGCCGCAGCCGGCGCGGATGCAGTGGAAGTGGTTGGTGGCCTTGCTGTACACGCAGCCCTCGTACCTGCACTCCTCGTACTTGTAGAACTTCTTGAACCCGTCCTTGGCGTAGGCGTCGTCCTTGATGTGGTAGCTCTTGTGCTTCTCGATGTCACACTTGTTCTTGAAGGTGAACGTGCAGCCAGGACGCCTGGATGGGACATTGGGGGTCTGTCATGGGGCACWCAGGGGGCAGTCCCCGTGACAGAAAACTCAGGCTGGATACCAAACCAGGGCCTTAAGCAAGCTATCCCCTGCCCCTCCTCCAGCCTGGGGCGCCGGGGGACGGCTGGCTCACCTGCAGTGGAAGTGTGTGGTCTTCTGTCCGTAGAACTGGCAGTCCGCCGTGCCGCAGTCCTCAGTGGCTCGGAAGCGCTGGAAGCCATCGTTGATGAGCTGGGTGTTCTTCTTGTGGAAGTTCTCGTGGGTCATCACGTCGGACGTGCTCGTGTACACCTTGTTGCAGCCCACCTGCAGCCAGGATGGCGGGCAGCCATCTGAGTCCTGGCACAGCTGGGCCGAGGTCTCCTCTCGGGACAGCCGACACCTCTATCCTCAAACTCCCCAGGTGTGCCTGGGCCGAGGCATAAAGCCTCCAACCACCCCCACCCCCCCAGGGAGCAACCGGAACCTGCCTGAGGGCCAGGCTGTCTTCAGACCACACGGCTTCGGGCCCAGGCGAGGGAGCCACGCTCTTCAGACGCTGGGTTTTATATCCCCATCTGTGGCCCTACCTCTACAGTCCCCAGAGTTGACAGGGGCTGTGTCCTGGAGGTCACCTTAGCTCAGGGACTTGCTTAGTGGATGATTTCTGGGCACRGCCCCTCCCCCCGCACTGGGCCAGGCAGACTATGTTGCCATATTGAGTAAAAACCAGTGGCCTCTGAGCACCCTCGAAGGCTGGGCTGTGCCAGTGCCTGCACCGTCTCAGGCCCAGGGTGGCCCCCCTCCTCACACCCAGGTTGTTCCCCAGAGGCCATAACAACCCTTGACAAATATGGGGGAGGCAAGGAGGCTGCTATTTGCAACCCAAAGTCGCTCCTCCTGGGCCTGACACCTTGAAAAAGCCCAGACTCAGTGTGGCATTAAAACAAAGAATTAAACAAAAACCTCCTCAGGAATCATTTGCAATGCCGCTCTTGGTGTTAAAGCCTGAAAAATGTCCGTCTGTATAAACAGCTCACTGAATTTCCCCCACACCAAGTATGGCCACGGGGAAGGCCCCGCCTCGGCCACCAGACTCTGCTCCCCACTCCCCCAGAGCCTCCCTTAGCATGCCCAGTGACTCTTGGCTCACCAGCTACCTCCACCCTGCACCCAGAGACCCTGCCCATGGCTGCTGTGCTGGGGGGCTTCAGGGCGAGGACGGGGAGGCGGGCACCTGCATGCAGTGGTAGTGGGTGCTCTTCCCGTTGAGGTGGCAGCCGTGGTAGTAGACGCTGCAGTCGTCCAGGGGGCTGAAGCGCATGAAGCCGTGCTGCAGGGAGTTGTCCCGCTTCTTGTGCATGTTGTAGTGCCGGATCACGTCCTGCTTACTCGTGAACCTCTGCCAGGAAGAGTACCAAGCTGGCAGGAGCCCTCATCCCCACCCGTGTGCCAAGACAGCCTGGGCCAGGGGGCCGGCCTCAGGGCCCTCAGGTCACCTCATAAACCTAACCCCGCTTGTGGTCAGGACAGCACAGACTGCCCAGCCAATTCCCTCAGCAGCAGGGATTTCAACAATCCAGAAACCATAGACCCTCCCCTGGCCTCTCCCTAGCCTCCCAAGAGCCACAGCCCAAGCAGAGGAYGAACAGGGTGATCCCTGAGGGCAAGGGCTCTGACAGGTGACAGTACATTCTGCCCAATGCACCTGTGAGCAAAGCCAGGTGAGACACCCAGTGAGACCGAAGGAGCAGCCTATGCACACTGTCAATGCCACCTCTTTGATAGTTCTGCATTTGCAAGTCGTGGCCTTTACCTAATGGCATTCTATCTGAACCTCAATTTCCATTTTGAAGTGGGGCAGTGATGCCGACCTTAGAAGGCCCCGTGAAGAGTTAGCTAGCTATGGTACACAGGCCGCCTGGAATGGGCCTTGGTCCACACTGGATTCCCAGCGAAGCTACATGGGCATCGTCACCACCAGGATGCCAATGGCTGCAGAACCTACTAGTGGCACAGGCTGGCAGTGGGTCCATACTCTCTGCCCACCCAAGTTAAGTTCAGGTGACCCATGGAGTACTAAGCACCTGCTGCCTCACTTCTAGCCAGAGCCGCTGTGCTGTGCAGTGGTGCATCTCGTACCTGGTAGTTGCACTCGGGGTCCAGGCAGTGGTAGTGCTCTCGGTACTGGTAGGCACAGTGGATGTGGCCACAGTGCTGACTGCCTGAAAACCTGAAGAGAAGAGGGGTCGGGTCAGGCCCCTTTCTGGGTGCCAGGCCCCATGAGGACTCTTCCAGGGCCTAAAACCTGAGCAGCCATCTCTGCCCAGGTTCTAGAGATGTGCTACTGGGTTTCTGTGGGCCTGGTTGGGGATATGGGGGACAGTGGTGAAGTGGAAGAGGTTTGGGAATGCCAGGGCCAGTGGCTAGGCCTGTCAGGAATCCCAGATTCCTCAACTGCATGCTTGCCAGCATCTTCCAGGTAGTGAGTGCCAGGTGAGGTAGAGGCCTGGCACCCAGGTGGGGAGGAAGAAGCTAGGGCAGGCCACAAGCCACAGCCAGAGTAGACACAGACCAGGGAGGTGAGGAGGAGGCCTGAAGTCCCCACAACTGCCTTTCCTACAGTTAGCTGCCTGACCAACACTATGCCCAGCTCTGTCCAGGGAGGAGGCCCTGGCTGGTGAACTGGGGCTCTGTTGCTGTGAGGTGTTAAAGGGCTCTCTCTGTTCTGGGCTTTTCCTGACACTTGAAATAGTCCAGAGTTATGAATTTTTAAAGCACAGCATCTGTTTGGCTTCCTGTGGCAGGGAGCTCGCTCTCCAGCCAAGTGCACAGCTAGGAGCCCCGTGCTGCCTGCATGCTGCCTGCCTCCAGGAAACCCCAGTCGCTCTCCAGACCTGACACTGCCGGGTGTGGCTCTTACAGCCTTGGTGAGGGCCAGCCCTGGGAGAGCAAACCATGACAGCGGCAGGGAAGATGTTTCCTCGGCCTGCCTGTGCCCCTCTGTGGAGGAGGGGAGAGAAACCCATGCCATGTATGGGGGGACCACTTGCAAATAAATATTTAAGCTGAAGTTGCCAACAGGGCCATCTGCTGAGGCACTAATAATAATGATAGCAACAGTAATAAAGAGAAGACCAAAGAGAGCAAAGGGGGAAAGACACTGGGACAGGAGAGGCAGAGAGGATGGGAGGGACCTGGAAGAGCCCAGAACGATGCCGCCAGGGCACAGCCCCCACCATGTGCCACCTCACCGGGCGGCAGCTGTGAGGGCCTGATGGAGGGGAATTTGCTGCCAATCCCGCTGCCTTTGGGATGGAGGGGATGGATCTGGAGTCAGGTGGTGTGAGGCCTTACCTGGGCAGCCCAGGGAGCCACACCCCTGCCTGAAACTGACAATTACGGTAGTCTGCATTCCACCTGGGGTCCACAGTGAAGGCCTGACGGAGGCCAGCTGTGGAGGGGGACCCTGAACTCATCTATGGCCGAGCCTTGCTGTGGGCTCCTTCTCACACCCTGGCCCTGGAGGTAGAAGCTGCTTAAGGATCATGTGGCCTGGACCACAGCAAACAGGCAGGTCTGAGCTGGGCTCATGGGACAGCTTCCATGGGGAGTTTSGGGAAAGAAGCAGGTGGAGGCTGGGAGGAGACAGTCTTGGCCCTAGTGGTAAGAGAGCGCAGGGATGGTCCCACAGTCCCTGGGCATTCCTGGCCCCCCACCTTCTCTCCACATAGTCTCCTCCCCAGGGGCCTACCTGGCAATATATTTCTGGTAAATGTTTACATCTTCGGTGACAGCTGGTTTATCTGTGGGCAATCCGTTCCTGGTGAGACACACGGGACACAGCCGATCAGCCGCAGGCCCAAGAGCTGGTGGGGAGCTCCCTGCCCTGGCTCTCGCCTTTCTTGCCTTGGCTGAGAGTTCCGAGGCACACGGGTAGGACTAAGAAAGTCCCTTGGCAGAAGCCTGGCAGAGGTTCAATTAGCCCAACTAAGGAGGGCTGGGCCACCCCAGGCAGGCAGGGCAGGAGGTCTGCACCTCAGGCCCAGCTAGGCCTAGAGTCTGTCTGGGTGGAAGGTCCCTGGAGCCAGGGCCTGACCCCCCGGCACAGAGGGAGAATCAAAAGGTGAGGGCTGAGAAGCATCAGGCATCCCAGGGAGGAAAAGGGGAAGGAAGGGCAGCACATCAGCCTCAAGTCAGGGGGCACTGCCTGCATCTGCCTGGGTTCACAGCCACCAGGGTGGAGTGCAGATAAGGGCTTTGGGATGGGTCTTGTTCTGCCTCAGGCCCCCACCATATTACTGGCAGGGCCAGTGCCCTGTCCCTGAATTAAGGCTGAAAAGGCCTTCTTCTTTCTGCCTCCTCCAAGACCCAGGCTCCGAACCCAGGCACCAGGGCCACTGCAGAAACCCCAGCAGCCTCACCCCCAGATGGGGCTTTCTCAGCCGACCACAGCTCTGGTGGCAGCAGGCAAAGGAAGCCAGTGGTGGCAACCAGGGGTTATGGCACTCGCTGCCACTCACTGGTCAGCAGGTACGCAGTGCACACCAGCGCCTGCTGTGTGAGCGTGTGAGGCTCTGCAGCAAGGGGTGGAGGTGCAGGGCCAGGAACCGTGCACRAGCTGGAAGGGCCCCCGGAGTGAGCACGCAGTGAGTGAGCACGCTGCGTGTGTAAGCATGAGCATGAGAGTCGACTGAGCCCGGGTCTGGGCGTACAAGTGGGTGTCCTGCCTCAGGGCTTGGGGTGGAGTGGGATGGGGAGTGCCTTACTTGACAGTGGAGACGGTCCCCGTGGTGATGGAGTCTGTTTTGGAGAAGGTAGACTTCAGGTACTCGGGAGTATTGAAGGACAGGGAGGCAGGTGGCTCGGGCCCCGGCCCGGGGGCACTGGGAGCAGTGGGCACACTGGCGAGGGGTGCAGGAGCCAGGCTGGGGGTGGGCGGAACCTTGGCGGGGCCTGGCTTCTGGATGCCCCGGACGTCATACTTGGAGGGGCGCCCCACCTTGCCTGTCTTGAAGGCGATGGCCCCGCCCATGTCGGGGCTGCCCTCCCCGGGTTTGAAGAGGTGCAGGTACTTGACGTTCTCCAGGTCATACTTGGACGGCTTCTTGTAGGCACTCCCATTCTGAGGGCGCAGGTTCTCACCGGTCTTCAGTTTTTGAATGAAAAAATCATACTTGGAGGCCCGGGCCACCAGGTTCTGCATTTGGACACTGCTGTGTGATGGCAGGGGCAAGATGGTGGCCTTGGTCTCCAGGTGGGTGGTGTTGCTGGGCAGCCGCAGGCTGGGCAGAGGGCCCACCATCTCCTTGCCTGCCCGCTCCTCAGCCTTGGTGCCATGGGCTGGCCAGGAGAGCTGCTCGCCGGCCTTGAGCTTGCGGATGTACTCCTCATACTTGGAGAAGCGCGCCCGCTTGCTGAGGCTTTCCTCAGAGGTGGGTAACATGGAAGAGGGGGTCGCCTCAGGGGGGGAGCCCGCATGCAGCTTCTCSAAGCTAATCTTCCTGGCCAGTTCATCCCTCGTGTTCTGGTCATCATAGCCAAACATGCCCAGGAACTCGGTCATGGTGGAGGCCGCATAGTCCCTTAGCGAGGAGGCCTCTCCTACAAGGAGGAGGGGGTGGTCACCTCTGGGAGGAATCAGGGGGGGAAAGGGCCAAGAGGCCCCCCACTGCGAGCCCCCACCACAGAGAGGGGCCTGTGTGGGGAGGGGCAGAGCAGGACATGATCTATGGACATTCGGCCCACTTGTTAGGTTTTACGACTCTTAAATTAATTTGTTTTAAAAAAAAGTAATTAATACTGGGGTAAAATAAAACGAGTTCATCAATGCCAGGAAAATCAATTTCCTAAATGTTCTGGCCGATGGCTTTTCAGTACATTAAACAAAGTTTCATAAATGTCTCCGCTCTCTCGCCTTGGCCTAATATGAAAGAGAAGTCATCTTACTGGAAGGAAGGCCAAATCCCAACCTGCCTCCTGAGGTGGGGGCAGTAGTTACAGGCACAGGGACAGGTAGGGATGTGGGTGGTRACTGGACAGTCAGGAGAGATCCCAGGAGCTGAGAGAGATGCTCTGGGTGGGGTTGGGGTGAACCTGGCATGGTGAACTGCCCTGAGCCCCACAAATGGATCTCGTTGGCTGATGAGGGCCTTGCCCCATGATGCCTCATGACCTGGCTTCCCAGCCTCCCCCCAACCACAGAACTGAGCAGGGCAGGGACTGTGCCAACGTGCCCACACAAACTCACGTAGGGCCCCTCCTCCAGCCAAGATTTACCACATGGAGCACACCAAGGTGGGTCACCTGGGAGAGCAAGGACCAGGGCAGGTGGGAGCAGCCAGCACTGTAGGCCCAGGGCAGCAGGCCTGGGCTGGGCACATCCATCCTCCCCACTGTCTGCACCTAGGGCACACTGAACCCTGGAGGGACCTCCCCACAGTGACATGTACACTCCCCCTCCCCCATGTTCACACCACATGCACGCTCACACACATGCACACACCACACTCACACATGTGCTCACACACATGGACTCACAAGCTCACGTTCGTAGCTGCTTTTCCCAACTCTGCAGATACAGCCAGCTCCCCAGGACAAGTCTTAGGCCAACGTGGCCCCTTCTAATGTGCCTTCTACACACAGCCTTTCGGCCTGGCAGACAGGTGGTCTCCAATGTGTGAGAGGGTGCTCATTCTTCCACTTACGGCAGGTTGCGCCCTCCATCAGGGTTGGGCACATACTGACAAGTGAGACACACGGTCCAGGGGACACAGTGTTCTCTACTCAGCTTGAGCCTGCCCACCTGGGCACACTCAGAGTAGCAGGACCCAGACTGTGGAAGCTTAAGGAAGGCATGCCAACAGGGATTCCTCCCAACCCCACCCAAACCTGCCAGGCCTGAGGTGCTCTGAGCACAAATGGAAGGGGCAGAGGGAGTCCAAAGGAGCAGAGCAGGCAGGGCCTGGCAGGAGAGAAAACCCAGCAGAATGAGGAAGGAGGGGTTCTCAGCTTCTGGGGAGGACTGGGAGCCCACTAGCTAAGGAGGGGAGGGTCACAGGCAGCTCCCTGGCACCCAGGCTGGGCAGAGTGACTCAAGGAACCCTCAGACAGCTGTTCCCCTGGCAGGGCAGGTGGGTCAGCCACAGTCTGGAACACCAGCCACAGAGGCTGGGGGCCTGGCCTGGGAGGAGTGGGCTCTGGCTGCTGGATACAGTGGCTCAGGGACCAGGGAAAGGGGCTAAAAATAGCTGGAGGCAGCTGAACCCTCACTATATATGGCAGGGAAACCGAAGGCTCTGAAGGGCAGGCAACTTGGAGCAGGGAGGGGGCCAGGCAGGGTCCTAGAGGCAGTTCCAGAGCCCTGCATTCCTGACCCCCAGGCCCAGAGAAGTTGGCCTGGGGAGCCAAGGCCACGGAAGGTAGCTGGGGCTCCACTGGCTCCCTAGCCACCTGGGGCTGAGGGAAGCAGAGCTCAGGCCACGAGGCGCAGGGCAGTTCGATCCCTGCCTCCTGCCTTTCCAGCTCCTCTCCCCAGGAAGGGAGGATTCAGGAGGTGAGGCCTCCTCGAGCCCCTCCACTGTGGGCAGAGCTGAGTGTAGAGAGTGTCAGAGGGACAGCAGCAAGGGCTGCTGTCCCTTTTCTCTCCTCAGGCCTAGCACAATCACCTTGTGTCTGGCAACGGCAAGGGCTTTCCTATCAGAGGAAACTGAAGGTCACACTCTTCCTCATTGATCTTGCAATGTTTGTTAATTACTCTGTCACTGATGTGGCGAAGGATAATTAAACAGCTCTGTTTATATCTTATATGCATAATTATGTGGCTGTGCAGGGCTCCCCGCACAGGGAGGAGAWGCGCCCCTCGCCGCAGGGGGGACAGGGACAGGGGAGAGGCAGGGGAGGCGTGCAGCTCCAGGCACCAACCTGGGAGGAGGCTGGGGCGAGAGTAAAGGCCAGACCTAGTTCTAGCGGGGGCCCCTCTCCTGCCGTAAACCCCAGGCTGGTCCTCTCCTGAGCAGAAAGAGCTGGAGACTGCTCTAAGTCCCAAGGACACGTAGACACTAGAGAAGCCAGGCCTTGGCCATCTCATGGGAAGAGGTCAGCGAGAGGACCATGTTGGGGTGGCTGGGTGTAAGGGGATCTTCTGGCTGGGCCTGGCCAGCCTCACGGGCCTGAGTTCCCACCTAGGAGGGCCAGGGGCAGTGAYGTAGGGAAGGAGAATGCTGGGGCACAGGCAGGGGGCAAAGCCTTTTCTAGGATCCTCAGAGAAGTCTCTCGGAGCGAGAGTGCTTGCAGCTGGCACTCATGGGGTTCATGTTGCTGCCCCACCACAACCACTGCTCCCCACACTGGTGGTCAGGGACCTTGGTCCCCCAGAAGGCTCATTCCTATTGATTCCCACCCACCCACCATCTGTCCATTCCTCTGTGTGTCTGGCCATCCGTCCATCTGTCCCTCCATCGGTTGTTTTTTAAGGACCCACTGTGTGCTGGGCAGTCCCCCCTGCCCCCTCACACTCCTGGAAAGCTGCCTTCTCAGTCCCTTTACTCTGCCCCCACCCCCAGAGTTCTCACTGGATATGATGCTGGTGCTTGGGGCAGGAATGAAGAGGAGGCAGGTGGGCACCTGGACACGTGGACCTTCCTTCCTGGGTCACCCCACAGTGTAGCACCCTTTCCCAGCCTCCACCTGCCTCTTAAAGGCCAGACACCCACCTGAAGCCTGCTTGATGCCGGGGCTACTGTCGTCCTTTGAGGCTGCCCCATCTGAGTCCTTCTCTGGGACACTGCCATCCTTGGAGGGCTCTTCGGCGTGGTCTTCCTCATCGCTGCAGCCCTGGGGCTGGACCATGTAGACACCCTCGGGAGGCAGCTCCAGGCCCTCGCGGGTGATCCGCCCCAGCACGGGTGCAGGTGCCGGCTCCTCGCTGTACTCCCCATTGACCCACTTCTCAATCACYGCCCGCCTCTTGTCTTCTTCACTGCGTGGGGCCCGAGCCACCCCAGACTCAGGGCCACTGCGCTCTTTGTCCCGGGGCCKCAGCGGGCTGTCCTCCGCCTGGGAGCCAGCCTCTGCTCCCTTCTCCACCACCACTTGGCGACTCAGCTTGGCACAGATGGCGTTGAGCTTGAGGCCGCCTTTGCGCTTGGCCGCCATGGCCGGTTTGCCTGCAGGTGGGTCAGTGCACCGGGTGCCTTCAGCTGTAGAGATGGAGGGACACAGAGGTGAGGGGCCACATGCCAAGCACAGCTACCCCTGAACGACCCTGCACCCCCAAGTCAGTCTCCCCAGGTGAATCACAGATCCATCATGCTGTCCTGAGGTGGGGTGGCCTAGCATTGCTCATCTCTCCTCTGGACTGGGAGCTCAAGGGCTGGGCTAGCCAGTCGCTCCATCCCCAGAGCCTGCACAGTGCCTGGCATGGAGTAGGTGGTTCAAAATGGATGAAAGAAAGGCTCTTCAAATACAAGTCTTCTTCCTAGCACCTGGTTCCTGGAAGCATCTTCTAGGATTGCTTGGCCCTAAATAGCTCCTGAGAGGTGGTATGACTTGTGTCATGCAGAACCCCGAGCACAGGCAGATGAGGGGCTGGTGGTGAGGGAAGGTGGCAAGGGAAGCACTGCACTGCTGGTGGCCTGGCTCTACCTCACCACAGGTCCCTGGGGAGGAGTCAGCTGACAACCAGCTTCTAGTCTGTGTCAACCTTTTACCCTGCTGTCCCAGTAAGCACCTGGATGGCACTGTCCCCACCTGAGCATCTTATCCCCTGGCAGCACCTCTGCCAGGCCCAGTCCATAGGCCTCACCAATTCCAGTGTCTGCTCTCAGGACAGCAGAGCTCTTCTCCTTGGCTCCCAGCTGCTCAGGACCACCGCCCCCCCACCCCCACCCCCACCCCCACCCCCACCAAAAAAAAGCCTCTGTTTTTTTCTCAGTCACCTGCCCTGTGAGGGTCTTCCTGGCCCTTCTTTCCAGCCTCACTGGGCCTCTGGCCATTTCCTATTGCTGTTCCACAGAGATCTTCACAGGCCCTCCTACAGTCTCCATCCCAGCACCACACTCCTCCTCCTCTAATTCCTGTGGCCCACTCCTATATCCTGGGAAGGTCTGGCAGGAGCTGAGAAGTGCACTTCCTAGCCTAGGAGCCCCAGCTGGGACAGGCTTGGATTGCTTAGGTCCCTCATGGAAAGCCCAGAAACTGCAGTTAAAGGGCTTAATTTCTGATTCCTGATGTGACAGCACATAGGCAGCTAGAAACCAAACCTTGTCAGGGGACAGAAGGTCCTGAGGGCAGGTGGCCAGGAAAGCCTACAAGGCTGGACATATGCACAAATGACACTACACATCTGTCTAGCCGTCCATCCATCTAGTGTACTGCCATGTGCCACACCCCATGGTGGATCAGGGGACAAGGCAGTGGCCATGTGATGGTCTCAGTTCATACTCGATTTGTGCATAGGGAGGTCCCTGTCAAAGAGTGCTCCCCCAGGCCTTAGCCAAGGAAATGGGCATGTCTCATATAGGTCTGAAGGCTGGGGGGCAGGAGGGCTTTGTGCCCTAGCTCCATGGATCAAACACCATGAGCCAGGAGTGGTGGTGCGTGCCTGAAATCCCGGCAGCCTTGGGAGGCTGAGGCAAGAGGATTGCAAGTTCAAAACCAGCAACTTTAGCAAGGTCCCAAGCAACTCAGTGAGACCCTATCTCTAAATAAAATATAAAAAGGAGCTAGGGATGTGGCTCAGTGGTTAAGCGCTCCTGGGTTTAATCCCTGGTACCAAAACAAAACAAAAGCCCACCATGAAATCCACATCCTGGAGAGCCCACAAAGAAGCCACACCTGTGTCTGCCCAAGGGCCTCATCCCACAGGTCGACCTGATTTTTATGCACAAATAATAGTCCCTTGATATATACATGCCCTGTGGCTGCAGATCCTGCCTTATCACCAGCTGCTGAATGTGTGGCCTTGCTTGGGGACTGTCAGAGAAAGGTCTGCTCAGCCAGTTCCCAGTCCTGTGGCTCTGGCTCCAGGGCCTTGGACCCTGGCCAAGCCAGATGCCCACAAACTCATGTTTGTCCACAGCTCCAAGTCTGTGCTGCTTGCACCCAAATCCCTATGTATGCACACGAGGTTCCTCTCAAAGTTCAGCTTCAGGGCCCCTAATCACAACCCCACCCAGTTCAACTGCTGGGCAGGCCAGCAGGGTCTGTGACACCACATTTCCTCCAACAGCCTCAAGGGGAGCAGCCTCACCTGGTCCTCCTTGTCCCTTGCCCTGGACGGGGAAGAAAAGAGCGGGAGTGAGGAGCCTGCTCTATTTTTACCAAGAGGTAAGCAGCCAAGTGTGTATGGCAGACGGCAAATGAATCTATAAATATTTATCCCAAGGAAGAGGGAAGCAGAAGCTCCCAAGGCTGCACTTGCTGCTAGTGACACCCCCTCCCAGGGCTCCCACCCATCCTGGAGCCTCCCTGAACTTCGGCTCACCCAACCCAGCCCACCTTCTCCCCATCTCAGCCATGTGCCCCTTCAGTCCCAGCCTGGGCCCCCACCAGCTGTGATGCAGCTGTGCACCGGGCCCACCTCCAGGCCCCAGGCCCCTTTGCTCCTGCTGACTCCCTCTACACCTGCCCTCCAGCTGCTGTTCTGACCYAGCCCACCTGCATTCCAGATGTTGCCCTCCCTCTGACTCTACTTTGGTCCCAAGGGTGGAGGTGGAGACGGCACCTGGGCCCGGGACACGGGCAAGAGGCAGAGGCAGGGCTGATGGTTGTCAGTGCCAATGTGTGCAAGGCTGGGATGGCAGGAGGAGGGCATGTATGAACTGAGGGCTGAGCTGCTGCCCTGTGCCTTCCGGCCCACCCCGTGGGGCCTTGCTGCTGGCCCCTCCATCAAAGGCCCTGGGACCTCCAGACTACCCACCCCCATGGTCTGACCCCAGACTCCTGTCCATGTAAACATTCCCCTGACTTTCTTCCCTAAAATATAAACGGCGTGGCCAGGCCTCAATGGAAGGAAGCCATCAGTCCCCGGCCCTGTCACTGCCCCTTTCATCTCCTTCCCGCCACCAGCCTGCCCGCTGCTCTATTTACACTGGACACTTCCTCTGGGAACAATACTGCCCAGGAGGCAGGCTTGGGCAGGAGGGTGGGAAGGCAAGGGGACTCCTGTTCTGCTCCCCCAGGGACCAGCAGACTGGGGGGGGGGGGGCAGAGGCAGGAGGGGCAGCTGAGGTGGGCCCAGCAAAGCACCTAATCTGCTCCTGGCCCCAGTGGCTCTGAACCCCAGAAGGCACAGCACAGGTTACAGTCTGGCTCCTGGGTCAGAGTCAGGAGCATGTAGCCTGACTCTACCCCTGGGAGCTACCGGCCCCGGCAAGCTATCTCTCACAGAAGGACTGCCGGGCTACAAGGTGAGAAGGCCCCTCCTTGGGCCAAGCACAGGGCCTGGCAAGGAAGGACCTGGGAAAAGACAGCTGAGCCCAGGAGGAGAACGACAGGCAGATGTGGTACCATGTCTGGCCCAAGATTCCAAGACAAGGAATTCTCACCTGGCCCAGAAGAGGGAAGAGGGAAAGGAGAGGCAGGAGGCCTGGGGCCATCCTTGCAGCCCTCTCCCTTGCTCCAGCAAACGGCCCCCTCGGCTTTCCTATAGGCCTCCAAACTCAACAAGCACTACCCATCAGTCTCTGAGCTGAGCAGACCCAACTAAGGTGCAGGAGAGAGAAGCAAAAACTGACTGTCCATCACAATCTCACCAAAGCTTCAAAAATGATCCAGTTGAGCCCTGTGCCAACCCATTTGACAGAGGAGGAAGCTAATCCTGGCTGTAGATACCTGGAGCTGAGGCTCAGCCTCATCCCCATGAAGGCTCCGAGGCAAGCTCTGGGAAGTCCCAAGCCTCCCTGCAGGGGCTCCTTCCCTCCCTTGCCCCATCTCCTCCACACCCCCACTTCCTGTTCCCATAACACAGAGCCCCCTAAAGTGTTAACTGCGATGGGTAAAATGGTGCAGCAGATTGCTACAATAAATAATTTACTGATATTTATAAATATTCAAATCAGCCAGCTTCAGAAATCGAATGAAGGGAGGGCCTTGGGAGAAGGGGCCCGTTATGGCATGAATCTCATCACTCCCTGCACAGGCTAGGGAAGGCCAGGGCTCCTGCCAGTTCTGGGTGAGAAAGGGGGGTGCCTGTAGCTGCACCTGGGCCCCTTGTCCCCACGTCTTCCTGACCTGGGAGGTAAAGGGCTGTGGGAAGCTGGAAGAACTACTCCTTCGGCACCTGGTCAGGCCAGGCCCTCTCCTGCAGGCAGTCTGGGCTCAAGGGAAGAAGAGGCGTGGTGCCCACTGCCCATGGCCCTGGGTCTTGAAGTTGCTTGTCTTGCCAGGGCAGGGGCAGTCCCAGGGGTCTGGGCAGGCCTGGCAGYCCCTCCCCACCGTGAGTAATGTGTTTCAGGGCTGGGCTGCCTGTCAGCTACCAGGCTCCGGGTGCTTTATGGGCTCTGCTTGGTGGCTCTGAACTCCCTGGTAGGAAATAAAGTTCTCCCTGCGCGTCCCTTCTAAACATTTCACTCAGTGGAAACGGTGTTTAAGAAAAATGAGGACATATTTCTTCCTAAGGATGCAGGATCCCCTTTGGGCGGCCTAATGCCCGCTGTATATCAGGAGGAAGGGAGGCAGGGGCCAGGAGCCAGTCTCCTGGGGTGGGGGTGCACCTGGCTCTGCCTGCCTACTGCCAGGCAGCTCTGGGGGCCACAGACACTGTCCGGACACTGGTGGCTGAGCTAGCCCATGGCATCTACAGGTACATGGCACCTGGTGCCTCCTGAGCCAGAAAGTATGAGCCAGAAAGTATGCTGGGCACTTAGTCACCTGGGTGATCCCCTAGCATCCCTGCAGGCCAGTTGTCCTGTCCCCATTTCCAGGTGAGGCAGCAGAGGTAATGAGGTTGGCAATTATCCCGTCAGTGCTGGAGCCAGCTCCCACCAAGTTCAGATTTCCAAGGTGCCTTCCAGGTCTTCTAAGTGGCCATCCTGGARTCTCAGGGTGCCTAGGGGAGCTCCCACCCTGCTGCACTTGAGGACTGGAACCTCACAGACCACAAGCCCCCATTCAGTGGCACGCATGGGGCACCTACTTCCATCCAGGCTCGGGCTGAATTCTGAGGCTACGATGTGAGCAAGACAGGCAGTCCTGGGTC